CAAGGTGCACCAGATTATAAGGCACATTAAGCGAAACAAAACGGACGACACTTGAGACTGATCCCTTAGCCCAGGCGTCCACGATCCATTGGCAGATCGTGGAGTAATTCGCCCGGCGTTGCCTCCCTGTCTTGGTGAATGTGTATTATGAATGTGAATGTGGATAATTTAAGTTTTTTTTTTTTTATTTCCTACGAGGAGGACTCAAATATACATTGAGTAATAATGTGTTTAATGTAGATTTGCGCACATTTGTTTACGTTTTACAGAAATTAAACTTAAAACCACCTGGCTAATTTGCATAAACTATAAGTGCTGAAAAAAACAGCTCGCTCCTTGTGCACTAATGCGGTTCAGCTTCTGTCGGACTAAAGGACATGACTCAGTGGATTACGAGTGTTCTTTCTGTGACAGACGATGTGCTGCTGATGGTGAGTCTGTTCTGTGCGTAAATCACGTTGGAGATGGTTCATGTAAAGCTTTTCAGAGATTATAAGTCTGCACATAGACCATATAGCGGTGCAGCTTCACTTAACAAAGACGTACTAAACATTTTGACAAATTTTTGAGCGCCGTGTACCACATAAAATCGGTTCGAGGTCAGTAAGAACAACCACGATGAACACATAAGGCGCACCTGATTATAAAGCGCACTGTTGATTTTTGAGAAAATTTAAGGAGACATATTGTGCCCGTATCTGCTATAGTTATAATCTATGACACCAGTGGATCACTATACTATAATTTACACATTTTGAATAGCAAAATTTGTCTAAAACAACTTAATAAAAGAAACAATTCTACTGACTCGTGTTAGAAAATTTCGGTGCCCAACGGACTCTTCGCTATAAACTTCATCACAACAAAGAGTTTGAAGGATAACTGGAGATCACACTAGTAGGTTTCAGATTTTTTTTTCATTTGTACCAAAATGACTATGCAACGAAACTTACGCATATCACCGATTAAGAAAATAAAATTGGAGAATGAATTAAGTAAATAGCAGTAGGCGTATGCTGGTGGCGGTGAAAACAGAGGTTGATTGAAGAGTTTGCTGCAGCTATAACTTGAATTTCCCTCAGGGTCTCTCTCATAATCATTCTAAATTAAAGTTTGAGCAGGTAAATGAGAAGAGGACACAACAATAACATGGCTGTGTTCACTCAAGATTATTCTGACAATGAATCTAATTTTTTGTAAAGAAACCTACTTATTTACCACATATTTTGCTAACATCGTCTCTCTTTTATAACACTTCCCATGCCTCCAGTCTTCTCTCCTCCCCTCTCTCTCTCTGCGTGTTTCATGGCACAATATTTTCACCTTTCTCTAGGTTTGTTCTGGGCCTCCTCCTGTGTCTCCTCTGAGTCTGAATCCAGCTGATCTCAGTCTGAGCACAGATCGTCTTTCACCTGAGCTCCTCCACAGTAAACACACAAACTCTCTGTCAGAATGCAGTGATTATGCTGCACACAAATATACGCACCGCAGTAGTCTAGTCATACACAGCTTTTCTAAAATGTTAACAGCAGTGTGAATGTCAAAACCTTACATACACAGACTAAGCCACTGCACTGGACTCAGACTTTATTAGGATAAACTAGCATTAAACATCTATCTATTAATGCAAGGAGCGTCTGTCTGTGTCTTCTCCTGTTGGTTTGTTTGTTTGTCTGTCCACACATAACTTTTAAACTGCTCATCCGACTGATCTCAAATTTGGAGCGTGTCATCCTAATGGTACAAGTGTATGCAGTGCCAAGTTTCATGTTGTTAGGGCAAAAAATGGCAAAGATCTGGCCAAATATCTGGTATTGTATAACGAAGGAAACAAGCAGATTGCATTACAGTTCAGATCTGTGGAGAGTCGCTTCTATTCACAGAAGGAATTACTGTGTTTTTGAACAATAAAAACACCTGTGAAGATGTGATGACCCCAGCCTGGGCTTTGTGGAGTGAGGATATTGTAATTAAGATTAACCAATTTATGAAGCAGATTTTTTCCTACACATTCTAGGAAATATTATGGCTATGAACACTGTAACTGTCTGTACACTTCAGTACACTACATATGAAAAACTCAGTGGTTATTGTAGCCACACGTGGCCTGGGGTAGACTGACAGAAGTGAGGCTGCCAATCTGCACCATCAGCCCCTCGAGAGCCTTGGAGGTAGAAAAGCACGATATAAAAATGTGACCATTTACTATTTACCAGGGACAGAACTTGACCTAAGAAATCAGAATTCTGTTGTCTGAGCTATGTTATAATGTTGTTTCCTCATCAGAAACATAGCTCATGTTGAGTTTTGTTTCATTCTCACATGTTTAAGACACAAACCCTGCATAATTAGTTCTTCTCTCAAACAGAAAACTTTGTTCCACCTTGTGATGCCATGATGCTTGTGGTATTACAGGATGTGCTCCACACAACTTCACTAGAATCATTCGGATAATTTTAGCCCTGGAATTCCCTATCTCTACTGAATAAAAAGTAAGTGGTAGCTGTTAACTTCACTTGACCAGACTAATAAGAAAGGATTACTCAAACATGTGAATGGAACAAAACACTAGCCTGATTCATCAGCTGGTTTCACTTTGTGGAAACCATCTGACCTCGCAGCATTAGAATTCATTTGCTTAACGGTAGGCGGGTACTTCATCGCTTCCACCCACTTCCATCGCTGCTATTTGGTCGTGATGTATGTAACGCATCAAATCCCATAAAAAGAAGGGCAATAACATCTTTCCCCTTGATAATATTCACCAAACATTCTCTTTGTTCCGGCTTTAAATCCTCAATCTCGGGAACTGTTGCCAACATAGAATGTCTGTCTTCGTCTGCATCCATCTCGACCGCTTTGTTTACTGTTGTGTTGTACCACAAAAGGGACACAGACAGGCGCTTGAGTTTGACATCACGACTTCACAGCTCTTCACTAATTGGCCGGTGCACGGTCTACAACTTCCGGTGTTCTTGCAAAACGTCTAGTGTATTTCGATTCCTGAACTAGTCGCCGGAGAGAAATTAAATTGAGTGGAGGCACTAGGTGGTGCCAGCCTGGCAAACAAAACACAACTCCAGATATGTTTTTTTGGAGGTAACATCATTCTAACATGATTTAAAGCTCACAAGAGTCGATTTTGTGTAATAAAGGACCTTTCAGCTAACTTAAGACCTAAACTGGTGGACAGAATAAAAATAAAATAATAAAATAAGTTTAAACCAGAACCTGGACTAAGACTAAGGTCCACAACAGGAGTAAATGAACTGAACAAGGCCAGAACCAGGTCTAAGCCAGTGACATGTACCGCAGTATAAAAATAAGTGTCCAGCCCTGGTGCAGTATGCAGTAAAGGTAAAGTGTCTCATGAATCAATAAGAGCAGCACACATAACAGAGACACAGGACACCAGAGCAGGAGAGGGTCTGAGTAACATGTGCAGGGGGTTATTGTGAAAGGCTCAGGTCAGTAACATCAGAGCTACAGAGGTGAAACCTGAGAGGCCCATTATACAGGCTCTGCTACAGTTACAGATACAGACGGGAGACATATTCAGTGTCCCTCAGTGAGAATTATGTTTACAATGAATGACAGCATGAATAATTGTTACTCATGAGAATTTTAAACCAATTAGTAAAGGCATTGTTAAAGGGCCCATATTACGCTCTTTTCTGATCTGTGTTATAATGTTCTTTCCTCATCAACAACATACACATTGGAGTTGTGTTTTGTTTAATTTATGTATGTTTAACACCTGAATCCTCCATGGATTATGTGGATCATTTCAACTCTGGAATTGTCATTCTCTTCTGGACAAAAGGTCAAAAGGTAGCTGTTAAACTGAAAACTAAGGCTACATTCAGACTGCAGCGTGAAGTGACCCAAATCAGATTTTTTTAACGCATGCGACCTGTATCTGATCTTTTAATGACAGTCTGAATGACATAGATCTGATTTTTTCAAGTGCGACCCAGGTCACTTGGATATGTGCTCCTAAAACCGATACATATCTGATCTTTTGACATGCGACTTCAGTCTGAACGGCCAGGTCGCATTCATCCCACCTACAAGTCAGGCTCGGAGGCTAGTCAATGGAGGGAAAGTGAGGTTAGCGAGTTAATTAATATTTGGGGAAATCGCTGTATTCAGGTCAAATTGGAGGGGTCAACACTGGTTGACACTGGGCGGTTTTTGAAATGATACTGAAGAAATGTCCGAGCGCGGCTACAGGCAGTTCTGGCTCCAATGTCAATGAAAAATAAAGAGCCTATGAGCCAAATACAAAGAGCATTAAACCCTGCAGTCTGAACGTGGCCTAAAACTTCATAACCTCACAAGGTGGAACAGAGCAGTAGACAGATTAATAATAAAACATTACTCAAACATGTGTAAATAAACTAAAACACAACTCCAGGTATGTTTTTGATTGATCCAACACAACTTAAGGCTCACAAGAGTCAATTTTGTGTAATATAGGACCTTTAAAGCAGACATATTATCTCTTCAGTGTAGCATTTTACTGTGACAAGCATCAGATTTTTAGGAGTTTTTGTCTTCTTATTGTTGAAAAATTGAAAATGTACTACTGTATCTATGCATTAGTCACTGGTTTGCATCTATTTAAAGGTGCTGTACCCGATTTGTAATGTCTTCAAAACATGAAAAACAGAACTACTTCATTTTAAAAGGTTTGCAGTGGCCCAAAGTTATTCCTCACTTACCTTTTGCATTCCAAGCATCCTAATTATTCACTGTGAAGAGTTTATAAGAGCTTTTCACAACTTTCAGCGGTCAGATCAGAGTACTGCTAATGGCAACTAAAATGCCAGCTGCATACTCAGAGGATAAAACACTTACAATTAGATGCAGACAGCACACATCGATCTCATTTCTACCTTAAGAGCTGCTTATACAATATATCTGTACTGGGATGAAACAAATCTTGATCAAACGCATGAAAGAATCAGGTACAGCTCCTTTAATGTGATTTGATTTACCTTGTGAGAGTAGTGCGGGTCGACGATTCTGGCCAGGCCAAAGTCTCCGATCTTGAGCAGCAGTTGGTCAGTGTTGATGAAGATGTTGGCGGGTTTCAGGTCTCGGTGAAGGACGTTGGCCGAGTGGATGAACTTCAGGCCCCTCAGCAGTTGGTAGAACAGCAGAGTGGCATGACCTGGCAACAATCAAATATTAAGAAAAAGTGATTACTACATGTTAGGATGGACAATATCGTAATTATGACTACAAAACATAATAATAATAACCTCATTCCTTTGACAAAATTATTTAGATAAACTCAGTATATTGTGGCTCTATCTTCAAACAAAGAAATATTTTCCTATTGTTCAGCCTCGGCAATGCAGAGTGTGTTACTCTTTACAGTAAAAAAAAAGTTACTAACTTTTATATGAAATATATCAGGATAAATTGAAATCTGACACAAAGAAAATCTGTGCTATACCTTGCCATAAGACAAGGACAACAACTTGACATAAACTATTCTAAAATAACATAATAACAGCAGACTATGGTTAAATTGTTACATTAAGGGTGGGCTATGGTGTTTCAAAATACCATCATAACAAGGTAAATGCTCATAAAAGTTGATTTTGGTAAATAGACACATTTTCCACCTTTAAGGCACTCAAGACGCTTTACATCAAGGAACCACTCACCCATTCACACACGTTCATACACACAGTGCAGGGAAACACAGGGGGTGAGGTGGGTTCAGTGTCTTGCCCAAGGAGACTGGGGGAGCTGGAACCACTCTGCAAACCTGTGGGTCAGTGGATCTGACAGCTCTACCAATGATGTTTATGTTGAGATCAGGATTCGAACTGCCAACCTTCCAATCAGTGAATAAACACTGGGCTACTGTCGCTTTTTACATAACATGTGTTTAAGATTGTACTATTTAACTGTAATATCTACACCTAACATAACTTAATGTAATGCTTTATTTGTCCGTTCCTCCTGCTTACCTGTGGGTAAGGGCCCTTGCTCCAGGAGCCTGGCCAGGTCCGTCTCCATACACTCCTGGATGATGTAGAGGGCGCTGAGCTGCCGGGGGTCCTGGGGCAGGGGACGTCCGTGTGGGGCCAGGACGTCATAGACCCTCACCACGTTCTCATGGAGCAGCCTCCTGGTTATCTTCACCTCCCTCAGAGCGTGTTTCACCGACACGGCGTCCCTCATCAGCAGCTTCTTTATGGCCACTTTTTGCCCGCTCCTCTGGTCGTACGCAGACAGAACCAGACCAGTGACCCCAGTGCCCAGAGGACGGAGGTCAGTGAAGTTACCACTAAGATCAAAGCCATGGAGGAACAAGGGGATGTCTTGTCTTGCCATTTTGGGATTGATTTAAGACTTTATTACAGGACAGCAACTATTATTTTAATAAATTACTAAGTGGCGATTAAATTTTCCAATCAGTCAACTAGTCAAACGATTTCTATTGTACATTTACATTTTTAACCAAAATAAAGGTCAAAATATGGTGATTGAAGACTTCTAAACAGAGAATATTAATGAATAAAGTGTATTACTGATATGTGATTCACCTGTAATGACTTTAATTGTTTTATATGTATCCACTAAATCAATGTTTTTTGGAATTTGCTACTTAAAAATATTCAATTTTTGTTGTTAAGACTAAAATACATTCAAGGATAATGTTGATTGTCTAATAAAAAGTATGTCTGTAAGGTGAAATTTCAAATTTAAAGTCATTCATTGATTAGTTTAATGAAATAAGGGTTGTCTGGACATAACAATTCTTTGATTAACTCAAATTTTATACTGTAAACATTTTAAACCTATATTCAAATAACTGTTTACAACATGAAGCAAAAGAAAAAAAAAGTCTAGTTAGATTAAATAAAACTTGTCACATAATATTAATGGGTTTCAACATCTTGTAATATGCAACACCTTTTCCAAATCAGAAGCTACAATATTTATTTTAAATTGTTAAGCGCTACAGCAATGGTTCTACATTTTCATCATTCTGAAGTCCACAAAAAAGTGTTGCAATAGCCCATTAGTTTGTTTAATAGAGAACTTGTGTCTACAGTAATTCTGCATTCTTATTTTTGGACAAGTCTTGGTTTAATCCATAACCACTGAATCTACAGAGCTGCGAAGGGTAAAGGGGGAGGGGTCATGTTAATTGAATTCCTCGGTTGGCTCCTCCTCCTCTTCCATGATACCCGTGTGGCCAGCAGCGGTCAGATGGACGAGCTGGTAATGTCCGAATGCTTGAATGAACAGTGGAAGTGACAGAGAGAGTCCATAATATGTGTTAAATCCGGTGTTAATCTCCAGCCTGGTGCCTTCTGGTGAGTGTGGAGCTTTTACCATCAGGCACTGGAGGAAAACTGCGATTGGCTGCGCTGCTCAGAACATCTGCTCCCACCGCTACAGCTGCCGAGGAGAGAGGAGACAAAAGTGCGTCAGATAATCAAGTATGAGTCTATGTTAAGGTAAATGACGAATAACTGGACCGCTGCAAATCGTTTAAAATGAACTAATTCTATTTTTCACGTTGTTTAAGACAGTAAAAATCAGGTACAGCAACACCAATCAACATTATATTCATGGTTCAAGAAGTTCAGATGGAGAGCAATTTAACTCTCTCTTTTTGAAATATCTAAACATAAAATCCACAAATATCAAACCTCATCATTTTTGCAGGGAGTTGAGGCCACAAACTTATTAAAATTGCACTATGAAGGCTTCAACAGCTGCAGTCTCCGTGGAAATGTTGTTGCTTTGTTTGCAATGTTCCACAGTGTTAAAAAGAGCTACCTTACATTTATCCGAATACTGCTTTTACTGCGAAAAACTAAACTTTAAAAACTTGCAATCTGGCTCGTACTCGTGGGGGTTACTCTACACAGATCTGACCTGTAACTTGATCTCTTGGCTTTTCATATTCTCTTCATGGAGACAGAGACGAATGAAGATGAATGCCTCTATAGAAACAAGCAGGTGCTGAGCCCTCCACCACAATATTTAGGCTACGATTATATGATGATGGTCTGAACAGAAGACTCAGAAGTGGAGTCGCGTCTTCACTTTTTATTCCATGTTTAGGCGAGTGTTTTCGGGAAGAAATCTGCGTACATACAATGATGCAAAAGCGTGTGGAATTCGATTGGGTATGCTCGTACTTGAAGCAACAAGGGCATCTTTGGATATACGAAAGTTTTCAAGCCGCATTTTCATCAGCTACTCCTTCCACAAAGTCTTCACTATCGACTGGTTCTCCCAGGTCTCATCCATGGCCGTTTGACTCGCCTGCGACGAACTGTTGCATTCAGAATTTGACAGATGTGACTGCAGATCTTTCTCTGTTCACTAATAGTATCTCTGCAGATTCTGTGCATTTATTGGGATGCCTCCTGTAAGTTTATTAGAGCTTGAAGATCCGACGCACAGAAATGATCCAACACGTTTGTTTCTGTGTACTATATGTATATGACATAAATGCGTATGCGACGTGAGCAAATCTGACCAAAGTTTTGTGTCTTGGGCAGTGTAGATGGAAACGCTATGGCAGAGTGTATTCAACTTTTCCACTCTGGAGGGTGGTTTCAGATTTTTGCATTTTTAAGCCCCAAAAACACCGTCACCGTCTAAATGATAAAATATTTTGTCATTTTTACCCACAAGCGTTCTCGTGTAAACAGGCCCTTAGTCTACATTTCAATCTTTATGATCAGAGTTAAAGCAATTTCAGTTGTCAACAATCCTGGCAGTTATAATACACTTTTTCCTACTCTGTCCCTGTTTTAGTTTGATTTTAGTTTCATTTGTTTGATACAATGTTCTTATCTGGGTTAAAGGAGCGTGTTTTTTTGCAGGATTGCTTTGTATAATGTTCAAATTACTTCTTTAACAATCAAGTACAAATCAGTATTGAACCTTAATGAACGCTTCAACCAGTAACTGTTTAACCAGACAGTGTATGACATGAGAATCTCCATTATATAACATGAAAAGACTGTGTGGCCTAATGTAATACGCTTATACGGGGATAATCACGTCATCTGATGATCTTCTAAGCCGGTGTCAGTGCAATGAGCATGCCTCAATTAATTTAAAGTCTTTATATTTTAAATCTTTACGCTGATAATTTTGTAACTGTAACTTTTTTTTTTTCCTTTTTTTTGCGTTCGCTTGATAATAATCGGCTCTATTCACGCCAGGAACACATTTGGAAACATGCAATGACAACTTCCAGTGAAATACCGACACTGGGCTCACCGACCGACTGTGATAAAACTCACTGAAGTAAATGTGATCAGCGGTAAAATGATGACTGTGTATGTATGTGATGTTTGGAATAATGTTGAATTTGGCACCTCATCTCTTCTAATCACATGTACCCAGTGCGCTCGGAGTTGTGTGTCAGTGGGGAAATGTTGAAAAACTGAGGTATGGTTAAATTGTTGATTAGCCGAACATAACGGAACGGTACAATGACATGTAGATGAAGAAAACTGGGCCATTTTCTAATTTTTCCTTGATTTTGTCAGACTTACTACCGCGAAAAGAGCCTGCTGGAAGTTGTCATCACATGTTTCCAAAAGTCTTCCTGGTTTGTGACGTAAGCATGACTAGAGAATATATTCAAACTATATTTTGACAAAGCATCAGAAGTGTGTTAAAATGTGTCTTGATTGAGGATCACGCACCAAAAACAGACCTGGAGTTGTGTTTTGTTTCATTCACACATATTTAAATAATCATTTATTATTAGTCTGTCTACATCTCCAATGCTTTGTAATGCAGTAGTAGTAGTTTCCAAGTTAAGAGATACCTTTTACCTTTAGTTCGGCAGATCTTGGCAATCCCAGGGCTGAAATTATCCAATGTGAAGATGTTTGGAGTGGAGCACTTCTTGTATTACCACATAACATCAGACGGTTGAGTGTTTCGTGTTTGAGAGGAGAACTCAGCCTAAATATGCAGGATGTGTGTTCAACATGTGTGAATGAAACAAAACACAACTCCAGGTCTGTTTGTGACGAGGAAACAAAATTCTCAAGTATGGGCCCTTTAAAGACGACATATTGTATTTTCCTTTACTCTATAGTTATAATTTATGACACCAGTGGGTCTTATAAGTCCGCTGATTTCTGGATTTCTGGAATATTGCAGCATCTAATTTAGGTACTCTTTAAAAGAAGAGAACAAAGATTACTCAAACATGCACAAATCACTCTAAAATCTAAATACTAAACAACTTTGAGTGGGTAAATGAGAAGGGAAAATGATTATAAGTGAATTACTGAAGTTGCACAATATTTCCTTTAAAGACAATATACTTGATGTTATAATTCTGCATTGCCTGTTTCCAAACAACAATTACAATGGAATTCATTTTTCGATATACCTATCTTCTGCCTTTATTGACGTTTAGTTGGTAAGCACAGAAACGGAAACACATTATTGACTTTTGTCCCTGGAATCCTGGGAAGAACGCAAACAATCCACAAATCAATACAATGAAAATCCCCCCTGCATGTTGGACGCCCGGGGGCAGATGGGACATTTCTAACCTCCTGATCTTCCTTCCTTGGGCTCAGACAGTGTAATAAACCTGACTTTGCAGCTCCATAAAGGTGGGCGACATGCCAAAAAAAACATATCACGGTTTCTTTCTGCAACAATAACAATTTAAGTTTGATCACAATTCAAGCTTTTAGCATCTTTATAGACATTATTAAGTAGTACAGTTATAAGAATGAGTTCACGCCTCATTGTGATTGGTTAAATCCACCTGTCAGTCACTCAGATGATAACGAAGGCTGGATGAGAGTGGGTGGAGGAAAGTAGATTGTTTTTTTTTGTTGGTTTTTTTCATGTTTTCAATTAGATATTTTTTATTATATATTTTTTTTTTATTATTATTATTATTTATTTATTTTTATTAATTACAAATGTACAATGTTTTTATTTTTTATTTGTATAATTTATATTTGTTTTAAATTTTTACTCATTTAATTATAACTTGATTTTCAGAGAATATTTTACCAATGTGTCATGAATGTGCTAAAAGTGTAACACTATGGAAGGTTACACAAGACTTTTCAATATTTTTTTTTTTCTAATCAACTCTTTTTGATGACTTTTTTCATTGTTTTACTTGTGGACGACATATTCAATATTCTAATTTTGCATATGTCCAAAAATAGCACATTTTTCAATATACCTTACGTCTGATTTCACCACAAAAGCATAACATAACAGAGGGATCAGATAATAATTAGAATTAGATCACCATATCGTGACACCTAACCCTCCATGTTGACTCTGGATAAACAGTTTGGCTGCAAGATTAGTCGCAATTAAATCAAAATCGCAATTAGCAAATCACAAAGGTTGCAATTTCTGAAGCACTGAAGCATCACTTTTCTCCACAAACAACAAAAATCCCATGTTAGTCTGCATAAACTCACTAATCATGTATTTTAGATCTGTAAACATGTTCTGAAATGTGATTCTTTTATTACTTTGTCAGTTCATATTTCAGTATTTTTGTCAATTCTCCTGCTCATGATTAAAATGTGGGGAGCGTGCCTATGTTCCCTCAGCCTTATGTTTCCTATTTTTATTTTTTCTTTCCAAAATTAGGCCCTATGTTCCCACAATTTTGTTATCATCAATTTGCATCAGATTTTATCCCCATTTCTCCCAATTTGACTACCAAATTACACCCAGCTGAGCAACTGACTATAGTTGTAATGCAGTTTTTAACTAAATCTGGGAACATAGGGCCCTGGGAACATAAGGCCGACCCTTTCCAACACTGCTACACCAACATAGGGCTGAGTGACGAATCCTTATACCAAAATTAAACTCACCTCCATGATGTTAGTGCAATTTAGACACAGCGCACAATTACCTTTTTAGAATTCTTGAACAAACTCTGCACATTCAAACAATCCAAATAAGCAAAATGTTTCACTACTTATTCAGTTCTAGTAACCAATACCAAACCAGCCTACCTATTGGTTAACAGTGACATCATTCAATCTGTAAAAGCGCTCCCTTTCCGTCCCCTCGCCCTCTGACCTCACGCTCTTACTTCCGGTTTCTCGTTGCTGACACCGTTTGTTCACCACTCTCAGGTAGTATTCCAGATTCAGTGTTAAGTTTAAGATTCAATAAGGTCTGTAGTGTTGATTACTGGCTTTTATTTATGTAGTGCTTGCTGCCATGTCATGCTCGGACCGGATTTACGAACAAACCATCTTTGGAATCAAAAGTCATTCAGTGAACTGTGAACCGAACTGTCCACCTATACCAAAACCTGGAAACATTACAGTCACAGTGAACTAATTTACGTAAAATGTAAATGTTTGGAGTTTAAAAACACGGTGAAGCACTTCCTGTATTACCACATAACATCAGACGGTTGAGTGTGTTGTGTTTGAGAGAAGAACTCAGCCTAAATATGCAGGATTGTGTGTTTAACTTGTGAATGAAACAGAGCACAACTCCAGGTCTGTTTGTGATGAGGAAACAAAATTCTCTAATATGGGTCCGTTAAAGTGTCCCGCCTGTCTGTGTACCGCCCGTCATGTTCGGACCGGATTTACGAACAAACCGTCTTTGGAATCAAAACTCATTCAGTGAACTGTGAACCGAATTGTCCACCTATACCAACACCTGGAAACATTACAGTCACAATGAACAAATTTATGTAAAATGCATAAATAAACTGTACACTTTTGATATGCGTGAATTATGCTTCTGTTCATCAACAACGAACCTATGCACCTTTTATATTAGCTGGTCCTGGGCCAACTCCCAAGTGGTGTTGTTGGTTGTTTTCCTCTCGTTAAGTGAGTAATTGTTAATGTAATTGTTAATTATTGGTTCAGCCAGTAGTTACCACAAGACCTCACGGTAGAAGCACTCGGACATGCCACAGTAGGAACGGGAAATGTGTAAGTGCTGTGACTGCTGTCGTTTGGACTTAAGAAAAAATGTTAGAAATGACTGAACGTAAGGCTGTGGGAAGATAGAGCTGGCCCCAAAATGGAAACATTAAAACGGATCTTATTATTAAAACATAAATCTCAAGTCTAATGGCGATACTTCTCAAAAAAAAAAAAAAAAAAATCGCAATATGGTAATCTTCCCAAAATCGTTCAACCATAGACAGTTTGCCAGAGAACTGAGGGGAGTGAAAAAGCTGACAGTGGTAGTGGGAGTTGCAGCAGGGCTAACTTTATAAATAATGCATGTTGGATATGGCGTTTGGTGTTGCTCTCCTCTTAGCTTCATACTGTAAAATCATTTTGCATTCTACAGTACATTTCTGAAAATCTGCATCCGGTTATATGTGCCATTTTGAAGACACGATCCCAATAAAACGTGTAATAATCTATTTCATTTTAAATTATTAATCGCTATGGCAACAGTGCTAAATTTTCATCATTCTGAAACCCCGTGGGTATTGACTGAACATTTGTGCATGGACTTTATTCAGCTATTAGAGTTGATTTTGGTTGCAGTCAGACTAGAAATTTTGCCACAGAGCTTAAAGTGAATGGAACAAAAACGCAAATTCGCTATGGCAATACAGAAATACTATGAGATTTTTGAGTAGCTTGCTTCACACAGTGCTGATAATGATATGCTACCCTGAAACGACTTTGTTTAATTGGCAGTGGTGTCAATTAATTCACGTTAAGACAGCTATAGCCTGCACTTTATCCAAGAAAACGCTGCGCCCCGTCTCCAAACTGGCACCGCGCTATAGTGCCTTTGTGTCCACGGACTAGACTCACTCAACGCCCCGCTCCCACAGAACAAAAACATAAGGATGAAGTGCTCCTGCAAGCTTCAAAACGACCCGTGCCAACGCGATATTTATTGAGATTCAACTTCCATTTAGGTTCTATCTTGACGATCTCAAAGTGTGCACCGCTGGACAAAAACAAGCGCAAATACTCACCGGGTAGCTCGCATCCGCTGCCTCGAATCCAATCCTGAAACAAAGATCGGAGGAAGATGGGAGCGATAAGAAGAAGAAGAAAAAAGGACCCGAGCGCCTCCGTGAGTGGCTGAGGTGTTTGCGGGTACGAGTTGGCACCGGGAGCGAGCCAAAGGATGAGCCGGGAGGAGAGAGCTTGTTGCCGTCGGTGCGCCGGGGGGTGAGCGGAGAAAGAGAGGAGGAGGAGAGAAGGGATCGCCCTGGTTGGTGGATCCGCTCTCATCCAGCGTCGGCAGTGGCGGTAGTGGTAGTGGTAGTAGACCCGAGTGGCTCCGCGTTCACAAACATACTGCAGTAGCACGGATGGTGAAGTAGCGCACTCCTCCTCTCGACTCCCCCCACATCCCCCGCCCATTTACTCCCTCCATCTCTCCTCAGGAAACTATTGGGTAAAGTATAGGCTTGGTCTGGAACTGTTTAAATCATATGAAAGAACGATAATTAGGAAAAAATGTATAAATACAATTAAAAAAAAACTAAAAAAAAACAACAAAACAAAACTAAAACACAAAGTCCACAAACCTAAAGTTTCTTCCACTAATCCAAAACTCTGTCTTTGACAAGTGCATAATGCTGTTGTGTCTTTGAGCAAGGCATGTCACCCACATATGCATGAATGCTATATACTGTAGATTATGAAAAGTTGTGTGTAGGCTATAGGGTTTAAAAAGCTCTTAATAATGAATGATCACTAGTAAAATAATGTTCACATGTACAGTAAAGATATATTGTTCATGTAAAAAGTAGTAAAGGACATCCATCCATTTCCTTCAGCTTATCCAGGGTTGGGTCATGGGGGCAGCAGTCTAAGCAGGGAATCACTTACTTCCTTCACCCTGGACACTTCCTCCAGCTCTCTGGGGGGACCCCGAGGTGTTCCCAGGCCAGCCGAGAGACATAGTCCCTCCAGCGTGTCCTGGGCCCAGAACACCTCCTGAAGAAGGTGCCTAAGAGGCATCCGGAACAGATGTCCAAGCCACCTCAGCTGGATCCTCCTGATGTGGTGGGGCAGTAGCTCTAGTCTGAGCTCCTCCTGTGTGACTAAGCTCTTCACCCTATCTCTAAGGCGGCGCCCTGCCTCCCTGAGGAGGAAACTCATTTCGGCTGCGTGTATCCGCGATCTTGTCCTTTCAGTCATTACTCAAAGCTCATGACTGTAGGAATGTAGATTTACTGGTAAATCTACATTCCTAAATTGTGGTTTTCACCACAATGGTTCGATACAGCTATCGCATCACTGCTGACTGGTCTGTCCAAATCCAAGGCCATAGTTCTTGACTGGAAAAAGGTGGCTTGCCCTCTGCAGGTGGGTGGAGAGTCCCTGCCTCAAGTGGAGGAGTTCAAGTATCTCAGGGTCTTGCTCATGAGTGAGGGGAGGATGGAGTGTGAGTAAAGGACATTTATGAACTCAGTTTAGGAACTGCTGCACAAGAGAACATAGCTATTTTATTTTATTCACATTTTGGTCAGTCCAAGCCAGTCCCTATAGTTCATCCACACTGCAGGCCTGTGCCGCATCCACATGTCAGTGAGGGGGGTCTGTTTATAGTAACTTCAATTGTCAGCACCACCTGCTCCTACCCTAAAATAGTGTGATCATTTGAAAACTTATGGAGACTATGTGAATGAGACACACACTGAAATACACACAGAAAATATATTTTAATAAGAAGAAACACACACACACACAATTGCATGTTTCAAAGGTCAAGTTCTAGGCCTACATGTGCATAGTAGATAAAAGGTTTATATGTGTTGTTGCTTCATATACAGGTAACAAAAGTACACTGCTCAGAAACATTACATATTATTTTTAAAACCCAACAAAACAATAAAAAAGAAAATTTAAATGAATAAACCAAATATTTAATCTTGATAAACTGCATTGTCTTTTTTGATAATGATTATGTAGTGTATCTATTTATTTTTCATTGGCATATACATAGACTTTGGTGACCAACAGCTTGACTTTTCTGAAAAACATGTTGTCTGGACACAGTTTACATGTTCAAGAGCCACAGAATTTACATCTTATCCAAATCCCAGGAGAACATGACAGTCCAAATTCGAACATGAATATCTCTTAATGTCTTAAGTTTGCCAGCAAAACAAAGAATATATGTGTTCTGGAAATAAAAGCCATAAATGTTAAGAAACAAGTGAAACATAAGAGACAACCAGCCCATTACACAAACTAAATAGCTTGGCTCAGAAAAAGTTCAACAATTCTAAACATTTTTGATTAAAAACATATCTTTGTAAGATCGTAGGTGCAATCCTGTTCATTGGATTTCTAGCATTGCATTAAGGACAACAGGGTAAATGCTATCTTCAAACAAGTTATAGTGAACTGAAAGACACTTGCTCCTGTGCCTTTACATTTTTTTTGGATGAGCACATTATATATTTACATTATGAGTCATGTTTGAGGTTATAACTAATAGCAGTAGGCAACAATTAACATAAGAAAACAAACTGGCATGTAGTTTGATTTGACAGACTACATGTAAACATTGATATGCATTAATAAGATGCATGATAAACATATAAAATTTGAAGTTGAAAGTTTCACTTAAGAGTGAGCTTGATTTAAACTTGATAGACTATAATGGTATTCAGTAGAATACTAGAATCGTTTGTCTTACTTCATGTTAAAGGCTTGTTGGAGGCTTTTTTCAGCCTGATCCTTGGTAATGTTTTTCCAAGCTTGAGGAATGTCTGCAGGTTTGGCATGATATACATTTGCAAAGTCTTCATTGAAGTTTGCCATGACATATTTCCAATAGTCCGATGCTTCCAGACTATCATCAGGAGGAATCTTCCAGTCTGGAAATATTTCTTGGTATCTCTTGTATGGGTGATAATACTTCTGACCATTGTCATCATATTGTTTGAATCTATGGTCAGAGTTTACACGGGAGGTGCATATGTCTGAAACAAGTTTTTGTGACACTTCAGATCTCCATGTTCCCAAACCCAGTGACTGATGAAGTGATGTCCAATGCTCTGTGTGGGCTGCTCCTCCTGCTTCACATGGAGCTTTGCAAAATGGGCACTGTTTACCACATCCGATCACTCTGACAAAAAGCTCATGCTGAACATTAACAGAACACTTCTCAAGTTTGAGAACAATATCTGTGTTTTTGAACTTCTGTTGACAATCTTTCTCCATTTGTTTTACACAGTTTAAAAGGTAATGGGCAAACTGCTCGTGGTCTGCAGTGTTTAGGATCATAAAGGTTCCAAGTGCATCTTGGGAAATAACTAACTTATCACTTAGTTCTGCACAGATTTCCCCAACAAAACATTTCAAGGATTTGTTCTTCTCAGTTTTAGCCTTTTTGACAGCAGCATTTATCCTGTTGATACATGCCTGGAGATGCAGGTTCTCAAATTCACTCGCTGAAGCCTGGGATGAAAAGTGTGAGATTATTTGGTTATATATCCACTCTTTCACATAAGCCTCATAGTGTTCAATGTAAGCCCAAATTAATTTAAACTGGTTCTCTGAGATCAAATCCAGCAGAACTGAATACTGGAAAAACATTCTGGTGCTGAACTGTTGACATGTCAACATTTCACCAATAATGTCAGGACCCAGGGAGCGATTGACAAAGTCTTCAACAGCAGGTCTCAAAAACTGATCTGTAAACTCCTCTGCTTTCTTTTGGCACTGGTCTCGCTCGTGAAACACATCTTTGAAATCAGTACGGAATTTTTCCTTGTTTTCCTGTAAACACCTGTAAGGATCATTTTCTTGTAGAAAGTTTTCATGCATCTTTTCAAAGTCTTTTGCTGCTCTGGCACATATGTGCATCTTCAATAAAACGTCAAACTCTTTGTCCAGTTTGAGCTGTTCATTCTGTTGCAGTTTCTCATCAATCATGTGTAGGATCTCTACAATGTAGTTGTCATGGTAGTTGGTTTTTCTTTGTTTTTGAGTGTTCACTGACTGTTGGCAAGCATCTATGATACTGTCAGCCAACCTCTGCACAGCTTTTACATGATCATCACTAAATATGCGTTTTAGTCGTTCAAACAATTTTTTAGGGTTGTACACAAAGGGTTGGTCTCCATATTCATATAGACTAGTTTTATTTAGAAGTTCACTTGCATAACTTCCTTTGGGTGAAACGTCTGCCCGTAGACAGTGAAAAACTCTGGATTGAACGTCAATCGTTTCTGGACGGAAACGTGCTAATTTCTCAACACTTACAGCCCACATGTTGTCAAATTCCCTGTCTAACTCTGTATCAGTCATGTTGGCTTTGTTATTCCGGCAACGCTGAATCAATTCAAGCACCCTCTCTTCCATTTCTTGTGTATGGTTCTCCTTGATTTTTTCCAACTCCCTCATTCCTTGTCGGATGTCAACAGTTGCAATAAGCTGATTTATTATTGACTTTTCCAGCTCCCTCCGAGTAACTTTTGCACCAGTCATAAACTCTTCTTTATACCTTTCCACCAGATTCACATGGCCATCTGTCTGTTTGAAGTACTGTGTGAGATTCTGAAGGAGTTTAGTTTCTCCTTTGGACAGTTCTGTGCATGCATCACTTTTCAAATCACTCAGAAGTTTTCCAATGTTTCCTGTATCATTTTCAACAGCAACTTTGCCATAATTTGAAATTATTGTTTGAGCATTTGTGACCCATGTGTACATGTCTTTTCTGAAGTTCCATTCCCATTTATTGTATTCTGTGCATAGTCTCATGTATGCATCAGCCACCAAGCTGTTTCTAAAGCTGAAGATGAAGTTTTCATACTTCACAGCGGTCCAGAGACTTCTTATCCACTCTTGAAACTCCAGGATGTCATTGGCAGATGATTCACTTTTGCTCAGAATTTGGATGATGTTTTTCTTGAGTTCATACACAGCTTCACTGTATCCTGCATTGACTGGAGCCATTGGAGGGGTTCCATTCCACAGTCCTGGGATGTACCAGTTTCCGGTTTCTGTGCTGTACTCCATCACATCAGTGAAACACTTGTTCTTGTCCTTCTTTTCCATTTTGGCTGCAGCCTGTGTCATCTCATCCAACTGTTCCAAAAGCAGTTTCCTGTCTCGAAGGTTCTTCTCATGCGCTGAAATATCCGACACATTCTGATGAACAAACAGACATTTGGACTTTTTTCCAACTTCTTTCATTCTGAGAAATGCATGAACAACTATCTGCAGGATGTCCTTCATTTCAGTGGAGTTCTCCATTGCAATATTTATTAAAGTGATGTCACTTAACCCCACAACAAGGGTTGCCAGCTCATTGTCATGTTCATAACTATTGTCCAGTTTTGCGAGCTCTGGAGACTTCAGACCCTCAGTGTCAATGATCATTAAAAAGTCACAGTTCAGTCTTTCTTTTACTTCTTCACTGACTCTTATGAGGAGCATAAAGGCTCCTCTAGTGCAGCGTCCACTGCTCACTGCAAACTGCACTCCAAACATTGTGTTGAGGAGAGTGGACTTTCCTGTGCTCTGTACTCCCAGAACTGTGATCACTAAGATTTTACTCTGGTGCGACACCAACTGATGGAGCTCAGACAGAACATCGCTCACCCATCTGAGAGGGATGTTGGAGGCATCTCCGTCCACCAGCTCCAGAGGGAGTCCCTCCAGCAGCAGTTCTGCACAGAGCCTGGTTAAGTGCTGCAATTGCAGACGAGAAGGGTGGTCTGCAGGAAGAGACACTGAGGCTTCGTATATCTGACCCATTTCACGAAAGAAATGCTCTACCCCCAGAGAACTGCCTGAAAGTTGATGATCAAGATCTTGAATAACCTCTCTGTTCTTAGATTCTTTTGATTTCTCTTTGTACTTCTCTCGAAGGCCTGATAACTTTTGTCGAGAAAGGTTATCAAGATTAAGTCGCATCCATTTCAGAAAAAAGCACCTTTCAATTCCAGAGCTTGATATTGCATTAATGAAAGCATGACATGGGTGTTGACATATCATAAGAGTTTTGTTTTTTTCTTAGTATATATTTTTGATTCTGAAGCAAAGTTTTATAATTGTCAATGTTTTCAGAGCCAGCATTTCTAAGTCTACACTCTTCTTTCTCCAGAGAGGTCAGTTCCTTCCAGATCTGACCTTGCAAAGGAAGCTGGGTTTCTTTGTACTCAAGCGTGTCATGGATTTCAGACGTAATAGCATCTGCATTTTGTTTGGCTTTCTGACACTCAGGACAATCTTCATCGACTTTTATTCCAAACTCACGCACAACATCTGCCATGCGCTCTATTGGCATTTTAGATTTTGCCTTCTCAACAACACTCCTAATTTTCCCCTGAAGTCTTGTGACAAAGTCTGCATCATTTATTGATTGAGTCTTTATCATTATATTGTTGTTCGTCAAGTTCAAATCTGTAGCTACTCTACTCAGATAACCTCGATCAAAGTTTTTGCTTTGAGAGTTACTAACCAGAAACATATCTGCCCGGCTCATCTGACTTGTCAGTAGGCTACAGGCTACATCCAGTTTGTCACAAAACACAAACACTGCACATGACGTCTCACATAAAAAAGAGAACTGTGGTATCGAGGAGGAAATGTCTCCACGGAGGTTAGCTACTGTTACAGGCTCACTGAAAATGTCAATGTTCTTGTTTCCACATGGAAGGTACCAAGCTATTTCAACTATTCCATCAGAAATCTTTCTCGGACAGTCCCCACCCTCCATATTGTGATGCACAAATGTGTCATGATATTGCTGAGAATTGCTCAGAATTTTATTGAGAACTTCTGACTTAGACAAAGAACATTCTCCAAGTCTCACAAAGGAAACCATTGGAATTTTAGAATGAACAATGTGTTCTTCAATGAAACCCTTAGATTCCAACAGTGACTGAGGTCTGTATTTTTTCACAATGTCCCTCAGGGCCCAGAGCATCATTGTGCACTGTTTGGTGTCAGGGTTTGGAAGCAGCAGAGGCACCGCAAACTGACACATTGACATTTTCAGTGCGAGTTCCTGCTGCACAAATCCATCAGAGCAAAGGAAGAGTGCAGTGATGATGTCTAGAGGGTTTAACATAGCACCTGAGGTTGGACCGGCCAGTAGAGCATCTATATTAAACTCAGCCTCTTCCAAAGCCTCATCACAGCTATGTGACACTTGGCCTTTGACATTTCTGGCTGTTACATTCACCATCATTAATTTCTTCAGAATATTCCATGCTGTATTTCTGACAGACCCGGCTGGTGTTTCTGTAATGCTCTTTCTCATCAATCTGTAGGATTGTGCTCAGGGTCAACTTGTCTTTGTACTGCTGCTCCAGGCCCAGGTATCCTCCAGCAGGCTCTCCAAACATGTATCTGGAAATAAATAATGACACAGTTTTTTGCATTACTTTTTGTATGTATGGTGTAGAATTATACAAAGAGCTCAAGCCCGGACACCTGACATAACAACAAGCTCTAAGTCCACACATTTTTTCAGTAGTAAATCTTACTGGTTTTCACAGTTGCAGCTGGAGATTTCTTGAATTGCCTATTAATGATTTGCGCCGACACACAGAAGCTGTATTCCTCTCCTGGATCCAGGTCACCAATAGTCAGAGTGGAAGCATCAGTCTGTAACTCTTGAACAAGTTCTTCCCCTTTGTAGCAGGTAATAGTGTACAACACTTCAACAGGAGGAGGGTCCCAAATCAGAGCTACAGAGTCTGAGGTCACATTGTAGGATGTAATCCATGGTCCTGAAAAAAAGAATAAATAAACACATTATTCTGAGCACCATACAAGCTAGGGGAATGACACAGTTTAATCCAGCTGATATATCTTAAATCCAAGTCACTGTTCTAATTTATTTTGAAGGGTGTGTCCTGTCCCCTCCTGTATGATAATGAGGACTCCACATACGTGTGGCCATTTTAAAGTCAAGTCTCCTCCCTGTGAAATGTGCCAGGTGATTTTACTGTCTGGTCAGTGTGGTAGTGGAGTGTTGCCTGAAGAACAGTAAATCACAGGTTCAAATCACAGAAGAGATGCATGGTACTGGGTAATAGTGCTGCAAGTGATGGTAATGTTAAATAAATAAATTAATAAAATGCTTTTATTACTGTATTGTAAAACAACATGCACTGTTCAGTCACTGATTGCTGTTACATGCAGTCAAAATGTTATTATTATCAGATTTATGGAGTTAGTCTATTATATTAAAATTGCATGTCCTGTAAACATAATAATAAACATAATCAGATTTCTTTCTAATCATAGTCTCTCTGATTATTCTCATCAGATTTTATTATTTGCCTTTTTAATAATCCTAAAGGTCCACAAATCAGATAATAAACAGACTTTTGGTGCGAGAGCAGACACAGGTGAGGGAGGGGCAGGTGAGGGAGGGTTAGGTGAAGGAGAGCAGACACAGGAAGGGAGGGGTAGGTGAGGGTGCGACAGGTGAGGGAGGGGCAGGTGAGTGAGAGCAGACATAGGTGAGGGAGGGGCAGGTGAAGGAGCAGATACAGGTGAGGGAGGGGCAGGTGAGGTGAGAGTAGATACAGGTGAGGGAGGGGCAGGTGAGTGAGAGCAGACATAGGTGAGGGAGGGGCAGGTGAAGGAGCAGATACAGGTGAGGGAGGGGCAGGTGAGGTGAGAGTAGATACAGGTGAGGGAGGGGCAGGTATGTGAGAGCAGACATAGGTGAGGGAGGGGCAGGTGAAGGAGCAGATACAGGTGAGGGAGGGGCAGGTGAGGTGAGAGTAGATACAGGTGAGGGAGGGGCAGGTGAAGGAGCAGATACAGGTGAGGGAGGGGCAGGTGAGGTGAGAGTAGATACAGGTGAGGGAAGGGCAGGTGAGGTGAGAGCAGATACAGGTGAGGGAAGGGCAGGTGAGCGAAAGCCTAATTTGATAAACAAATACCTTTTTTCTAGATATGAATCACCTTAGATTTGTGACCTACTGTTTCACAGGCAGTTACTCAACCACCACACCAGACAAGTACGAACTCTGAATACTGGCACAGCACATGACCCAGGGTCAAATAAAGAAATTTAATATATGTAATTACTAGCACAGATATTACTACATGAATTAAAAAATAAATTGCATTGGTCAGATACTCTACACAATAGAGAATTACATGGTTTTTTATTTTTTTGGCCTCTGTGAAAAGTGTTATTTACATGTTATTTTGCATTTTAGCATAATTTGATAACTAACAGCAATGCCAAAATGCTGTTAAGGTGCCCTAAAGGTGTAACATAATAGGTTACGCTGAATCATTAACGCATGTCAACTTTGCATTGCATTCATATTTACCTGGTTCATACTCAAGGTTAAATGTGTCTGAAGAATCCTCTGACTCCATGACAACTGTGGCAGTGTCAGAGTCTGTCATGGTCACTGTAACATGAGAGGACACACCATTAGTTAAACAGACATCCAGTTTCAAAGTTCAAATCAAAGTTCAGTTTCTCACATTGATCCATTTGGAATGTGTCTGTTGCATCAAAAAACTCCTGTATAAAATAAAAAATAAATCACCTTTCCGAAGTTAAGTTATTACAGATTTGGTTAAAAAAAATGCCTTGTACCTCATCCTTCGCTTCCAAGGGATCACAACAATTCTGAGCCATAATGCAAATGATCCCTTAAATTTATGGAATTAACTCTAGCAGAAAAACAAACAAAACACTATATGGGAATTCTGTCAATTGAATAATTGTACAATATACAGAAATAATACATTTATATTTTGCATATGTGGAGAGAATATATATTTCCACTCACCTTCAGTTAGATGAATCAGTAACATATGTGTAAAAAACACATGTCTGTAGCTGTTTTCTGCAGTGCTCGCAAAGACATTTACCTGATGTGCCATACAAAAAGCTAATTGTGCAACAAGATGTGTCCCGCCTTTTATAATCTGCTGTGTCTGGTGCCTACTTTAAGTTTCACTTTCATTTGCTCTACATTTTTCACAGAAACAAAACCTAAAACGTCTTTATTTTTTGTTTGTTTTTTATGTTGTTTGCCAGTTTGTTTTCAAATCTGAACCAAAACTATGTAATAAAAATCCTTTTTTCTAATCTCATTTCATTTCCAGACATAGCAGAAATTACATACAAGTTTATGATTGAGATGACGTTGGTTTACACTGGTGTTTGTTGAAATAAAGAACATAGTATTGGACTTTTTTCTTGCACTATTTCTTCAGTGTAAATATCACATTAAAAATAAAATAGCAATGTAAGTCTTTCAGTTTCAGATAAAAATGTCTCACTGCATTACCAAGGTTTAGCCACAAAGGGGAGCACTCACCTCATGTAATATTGTGAGCGGGACAGTGACAGCGGCTACTTTCACCTCATATGAGTATTAAACAGCTCTTGTGTTGTTTTAAGTAAATCTACATGTTTGGGGTGTTCCTAAAGTGAAGCTTAAATAGAAAACTTTAAAACCTCCAAATCATCTTTAAATATATGACAATCGATACTTTGCAGTGACGTCACGCTGGGAATGTAATGCATGCATGTCTGTGGCGGAAAGTTCAACAGTTAACATGGTGACATAATGCAAACATTTGTAAACATTCAAAAAGATTTCAGATCATCTGAAAACTCAAGAATGAAATGAAATTAATTAATTGTGATCATTACAAGTGTTCATGGTCTGGTTTAGGTGATTTTCAACAAAAATGTTGAATGTGACTACCTGAAAAACAGTTGGCTAATGCCCACTAACTTGTGACTGTAATGTTATTTGAGAGACTTTAACAGCACAAATGAGCTCACTTGTAGTTCTCAGCTTGTAGTTCCCACTAGTTCAGTTCTGCGGGGTCAAACGGGGATAAATAAAGTCTAAATTAAAGTCAAACTTGAGTAACAGAACTTCAGAAAGTGCAGTGCCTCTAGTTAGCGTCATCCCCCAGGGAATGTTGACAACATCAGCTGCAAAGTATCAATGTCTTCTGTTCTCATAAATGTTCTAAAATGCCTATAGTTTAAAACTGATCCACACATGGAAAAAAAAGTCCAATAATTTGTCCATCAGTGCAAATTAATCAGAGTGAAATACATTTTTCATAACAGCTTCAGAAAGTGGTGCCATTATTCAACCCTAAAAATGTGATTGTTAAAAGCCATAAAATTAATAGGGCAAGTAATTAAAAGGGCAGTGCACAGTATGAGTGCACGTCAGTGGTGTGACGTTGGAATTTTTGTGTTCAGCTTCCTCAAAAAGACCATCAGTTATTTTATTGTTAATCAATAATGTAATGCATTGGGTGTGGCTCATGTTAGATGTCTTTTATGCACTGGAAAATGTTTGATCTTTTATGCGCGAGTGCTGTGCATCGATAATCAGGAAACAACTTGCCATAACTGGAAGTGTTGGTAAGAATTTATTGTTGCGTTTTGATTTATATCTGACTCTACATTCTCTCTTGTCCAATCATATGTCTTATCGTTTAAACCACCCATTGGAGCCGTACTGTGCCAACCCCTGACCCCGCTCGGACCTAATTCAGACCCCTCAAACAGGGCAATACGGGGCAACACTTTAGTCTGTGGAGGCCCATACAATCTGCTCCAAAGTGAACTAATGGACACAAGGCTTATTGGTGATTAAATAGTACTACACTCTTAACAATTTGAAAGGAAATTTAATGAACAACAATGAAGTAAAGCAATTGCTGATAGAAAGTGTATTAAAGTTGTTTATAAGGTAAACAAGTGAAAGCTGGTGAAGGACATGTTGTTGTAGGTGGAGGTCTGTTGGGTAGAGTCCTCTGGGTGGAGGTCTGTAGCCAGAATCTCTTGACAAAAAGAAGTGTAAAGATAACACAAAAAGCATCAGTACTCACCGGAGATTGCATCCGCTGCCTCGGTCCTGGAACAAAGATGGGTGGGATGATAGGAGCGATAAGAAGAAGGACCTTAGTGCCTCCGTGAGTGGCTGAAAGTGGCTATGGAAATGGGAATGCGCTTTCCGTCTCTCCTTAGAAAACTACAGGGAAAGTATTGGCCTGGTCTGGAAGTACTTAAAAAAGAGATGTATTTTGTTTCATTCACACACTTAACACACAAATCCTGCACTTTTAGGCTGAATTCTTCTCACCTTGTGATGTCATGTGGCAATACAGGAAGTCCCCACTGTGTTTTTAAACTCCATACTGGGCTCGACATTAACGGTTGTCCGCTGGTCCGGGGCAACTAAAACTTTTCTCCGGGCAAGTACTCTCCTCTGCCAGTTGCCCGAGCGGGCAAGTGAAAATAAAGCGACACAAATCTAGTCCCCCAGTAATAATAACAATTTATTTGGTTGATAAACAAAGCGACGGGTTGTCCGTTCATAACGCATTTTTTTCATTTCCGTGAAAGGAACAGATAGGTTCAACCTTTTGGACTGCCACGAAAAACGGCCGCGGTGACAAGTGCTCACTTCATGCGCGCTGCTGTGCGCATCACAGTCAATGTTTTGTCTTTCCCACTGACTGTAGGCATCTTAAATAAAACGGACGTAGTATTACGCTGCCTCCTGCACCACAATCTTTGCCCAGTCAATCAAAAATGTCCCTTAGTGCGGACCGCGCTACTCCACCACTTTTGTTTTGTCTCTCATTCTACCGTCACATCTCCCATATCTAGGCAGCTTCATGACGCGTCGGAATGAAAAGCGAACTCAGGGTTAAACCAAACTCCAAAAAATTGCCATATATTTATCAAGCCTACTCACTAATCTCAGTAATTAGTTAAAATGCATAGGTTATTATTATAGCCCGTGCTTTTGGGAATAACATTCACTGGGATGGTACCGGGGCGTCTCCAAGCGATACGTGCGCTTTGTGAGCGGGGCGTGTGTCACCGGAGGACCACGCCGCGTGACATTAAACCTGCTTCTCTACTTCAGTCCTCATGGAGCCCTGTACGTGCACACTCCCACATCGTAATGAGATCCATTCATAGAGAACAGTCCTACCTGTGCGCCTCCAGTGCGTCGGTCCAGTGCCACGCGCGTAAATCCCGTGTTTTCTTAACCTATTACGCAGCGACGAGAAGCGCGAACAAGGACCTAAATTTAAGCAGTCCAAACTAACTCCACAGTAGAGGACCGAGATATGTAGTAGTTTTCTTTATAAGTGCGCAAAGGGTATAGTTACAATTTATGTTTTTATGCAAATTAATGGCCAATATTATTAAGAAAATACTTTTCAGTCATTGAATAACTTTATATCTATGTTAATTCATATTTTAAAACAGAGTAGGCTACTATACACGGTTCAGGTATAACTCCAAATGCGCACGCAAATAAACGCACAACTGATTGTCACGAAGATTGACCTGCGCTTAAGTTTCGCTTTTGTTTCTCGTTTTCTGCACTTTATATAAAAGGCAGCGCATGGAGCATGTGCTCTTACTTTGATTAATAACTTTACGCTTTTGCTACTGGGAGGAGGACGGAGGAGAATTATGGAGAACTTTAGGCAGATTCGTTTGGATACATCTTTACGCACACGCGCTCCACGCTGGATATATTTACCAACGAGGAGCAGGGTTTTTGCGGAGTTTTGGTTCATATTATGTTTGGCTTAAATTTGACGCGGACACTGCAGGCTGTGACTGGATGTGGATTTATTATTACGCACTTTGGCTTTGAGACACTATAAACGCCCCGCACTGGAGACTGGGTGTTTTCGGGTGGATACAAGTTTCACGCTGCACCTTGTTTCTTCAGCTCTTCTGTTTTACCGGTAAGAGACAAACTGCACTTAGTTTGGACATATGTAAGACATGCTCAACATGTTAAACATGAGCGCTGTTTGTGCAGTACATTTGCGCAGAGCGCAGTACTGACGCGTGAACACCTGCACTACTGATAAATTGAAGTGAAATTAAAGTGTGTGTTGGCTTATTGACGCGGGCATTTAATGAAAGGGACCGAAAGTGGGCACCGAGCGAACTTTTGTTTTTTTTTAATACCAGTTTTTTAGTACTTACCAGTACTTACCGGGCCTTTTCGGTCGATGCCTACTTGAAACTGAGTTTCGATACCCAACGCTATCTGCGCAGACTATAGGCTCGTGCAAGTCCAGTTCTATGGTATACTGGCACTAAAATATTTGGAATGTGAAATGTGCAAGTGAAAGTCGGTTTCTTAACCTGTGGGCGAGGGTCCAAGGGAAGGACTTATAAGGCTATATATTTGTGAAGCTCATGAAGCCAAAATTTACTTTAAACATACAGAAAGTAAATCAGAAGTAATGCAAAGTAGTGTAACCCCATTACATATGGGGGACAATACTGCATTACAAAATGTTACAGTGCAAAAGGCAATATGTATCACAGTTTCAGATTAACTTGCTCATTGGTCCCAGCATTGGTCCCAGATGACAGCAACCAGGACTATAGATGTTCTGTCATATTTATCTATAATCACATTAGTTCTAATTGTCACCTGCCCATATGGGTCTGACAACCTGAGACACGTTGAGGCACTCTTAGATCTCTGAGTGGATACAAGAGAGAACAATTTAATGAGAAGACCAATGATAATCATTTTCATCTCATATACATACAAATTTGGACACACTTTTTCATTTATGCTTATTTTTTTCCCTCCATATTTACACTGTGGAGTGTAGTATGAAATTATTTAAACTTGTTTTATATATTTGAGATTCTGTCCCACTCTCTCAAACCATTTAGTCATTGTGGTCATGTTATGTTGGTATTCATATGAAAAAAAAGTTTTTATATGCCTGTGCTAGAGTTCTAGTCAAGACTGCATTAATTGAGGCCAAGACCTGTCCGAGACCTCAGGGTCCTGAAACCAGGACAAGACCAAGACCTCTGAGGGTCGAGACCAAGACCACGGCCCATCGAGACCAAATCATGACCATCATTGTCATTTTTGACATTTATTTGGATTTTACAGTTATTTTGGCACATATATATCAATATTTTTAGAAATCTATCTCCATTTTATCTGATAAATGTTAATTTAAGATTAAATTAAGACAAGCAAACTGTACTGCACTGAACACTGCCCTTTTTTAGACTCTCACCCACAGTTTGAGAACCCTTTCTTTAAGAAAACTTCCATTGGTATTTTACACAAAACTGCTTCAAAGTGAATAAAGTGGGTAGGATTTTAAACCCGTTTTGTCAAGTTTCTAACTGGAGTTACATTCACTTACTGGTTTTGCAGTGGGATTTACCACATTTACCAAACGCATGTCGTGACAAACATAGATGCATTTTGAGCACTTTTATTAGGCAACCTTCAACCACATGTAGCAGTAGTGCTGCTTTGTGCCAACAATGTAACATAAATTTGGATTCGTTTTAGTATTATTTTTCTAATCTGTGGGCATTTGGCGTTTGCGCTATATGCAGGGAGGAGCGAGAGCGCGAAAAGAAGGAGCAGATGACGTGAGGCAGATGGGCAGGTAGAATGTTTTAAAAAGTTTAACCTGCCCTGTGATACATGCTGGTACGAGAGGGTACACGCTGTTGCGGACAAGGCACGGGCGCTGGGGGCGCTCCACACAAACGCACAGGCTGCAGCGAGACACCCCGCACGCCCCCGCACACCGGTACAAGTTTATTGCCGAGAGCAGTGGCCGTAATGAAATATGATCGCACCTGTCTAAAGTCAGACCTCGAGTCCGAGACAAGACCGAGTCCAAACGTGGTCGAGTCCGAGACGAGACCAATAACCCGTGTAACCTCGCGAAACCACAGCCGTGCGTCAACTCAAAGGCGGTTCTACCGGCAGCTTGCAGCAGGAAGTACACGCGCAGCTCTGACTCTGTTTCTCAATGAGAAAGACGATCAAATTTGACTGGGCGCGTTTAGCCGCTTGTATCAGGTCTACAGTTAAACTAACAGCTGAACACACTTGTATTTACCTTCTGTACAGGCTGACCACGGCAAAAGCCACGATTTAAAAAAGTAAATTTTAAAGCTCTTATTAACAGTCTTTCTGGACCTGGGCTCTTTTACATGACACAGATCTGCCCCAGGAGCACGTTGTCCTGACGGTAAAGGCACAAATACAACCAAAGATTCATGCTCTGTGTATTTTGATGGGGATACGCGTAGAGCGTCAAAAAATAGGATGGATCCTATTTTCTGAAATCTACGCATGCAAGACATGTTGCTCCATTCGTGCGTCTAGCACCTGCAGTGAAGCCGTCCTCATTCACTTTCCATGCATTCTAAAAGTTAAACGTCCAAAAGTTGCAGTTTTTACGCTCGCATAGAGCGAAATGTGCATGCAGTCAAGCCAGGCCCTAACAGCTGAACAGACTTGTATTCACCTTCTGTACAGGCTGACCAGGGCAAACGCGAGGATTTCAAAAGCAAATTTTAAAGCACTAATTAACAGTATTTCTGGACATGGGCTTTTTCACACGACACTGTGGCCATACCGGCTTGTAAAAGCCTGATCCCGTCAGATCTCAGAAGCTAAGCAGGCTGGGCCTAAGTAGTTCTTGAATGGGAGACCACTAGGAATTCCAGGTGCCATGAAAGAGGTGTGAGCGTGAGTGATGGTGGTGGTCGGAGGGGCTGATGGCTCAGATTGGCAGCCTCGCTTCCGTCAGTCTGCCCCAGGGCAGCTGTGGCTATAGTAGTAGTTTACCACCACTGAGTGTGGAGTGAATGAATAATGAACTGTAAAGCGCTTTGGGTATCTTGAAAGACGCTATATAAATGCTATCAATCAATCAATCGACACAGATCTGCCCCAGGAGCATGTTGTGCTGAGCCAGGCCCTAAAAAAAGGTCTAGAGTACTACGACACTAGCCTGTGCACATATTTAAAAATATATAATTAACTGAGCACCATTTTGTTTTTCCGGGCAAGTAAGTCTGGGTGTCGGACAAGTAAAAAATTATAGCCACTTGCCCGGTCAAGTACTTGTAAATGCTTAATGTCAAGCCCTGTCCATACATTGTCATTATAGGATCATTTAGATCAGTGGTCCCCACTTTTTTTTTGCGCCATGGACCGCTTTTATATCCGACAACATTTCACAACCAGAGAGGGTTGGGGGGTGTATGGGAGGAGGCAAGGTTCACGGTCCTTGCGACATGCTTAAGTCCTGGCTAAATCTGGTTTTAGTCCTGGTTTTAGACCCTGTTTTAGACCCTGTTTTAGACCCAATTTTAGACCCGGTTTTAGATTAGGTTTTAGACCTGTTTTAGTCCTGTTTTAGGCCTGGTTTATACCTAGTTTAGTCCTGGTTTTAGTTCTGCTTTAATCCTCGTTTTAGTTCTGGTTGAGAGGCACAGTCCGTGCGACGTACGGGAGGGGGGACGGTCCGCACGACATACGAGAGGGGGTAACAGTTTGCGTGACGTACAGGAGGAGGGACTGTCCAATTGATGTACGGGAGGGGGGGACAGTTCCCGTGGCGTATGGGAGGGGTGTGGGTTCACTCTTTCGTGGCCCAGTATCAAACGACCCATGGCCAGTACCGGTACCGGTCCCGGGGACTGGGGACCCCTGATTTCAGCCCTTGAGTTACTGGTGTTCAAATAACATCTCAGCATAGCCCAATATTAATTAATACAGATGGGGGGGCAGCTAAAACAAATATGGTTAAAATGCAAAATTATGTTGTAAAACGTGCGTTCTTGGGTTTTGTAAATAATAATAAATACTAGGTTCCATATTTTTTTATTTACTTTTTGGGTATTTCATGGAAAACTGCTATGTAGTCAACAGGAAAAAGTGGTAGCCCTCCGTCTGTGAGTATGAGATCATATTCTAATCTAGGATCAGCCAATTGCTAATCTCTAAAGAACAAAAGATAAAAGCTGTTAACCTGAAAATCACTGTTATGACATCAGAAGGTGGAATAGAGCAACTCCAAGTATGTTTTGTTGAAGTACAGCATTCTACCATGTTGTAAAGCTCACAGCTCTTCTCCCACAAATACTTACTGATCATTAAATTCCCACTCTGACTTTGACAGTGTATAATGCTGTTGTGTCCTTGAGCAAGACTCTTCACCCACCGTATGTATATATAAATGCTAAATAGATTATGAAAAATTGTTAAGTGTGTAGGCTATAGGGTAGATAAAGCTCCTAATAATGAATACTTTCTGATAAAATAATGTGCACATACAGTAAAGATAAGTTGTTCCTGTAAAAAGTAGCATTAAAAGATTAATTTATGAAATTAAGTTAACTGAAAATGTTTAATAAACTGAAAGGACATTAAAGAACTGAATAGAACTTGCAGTTATTTTTTGCATCATTGGAGACTTTGGGAATTTTTCATTTTCACCAGCCAGGCCATTCCTCGCTGTGCACACACTCTCCGCCCTCGGTGGTATCACGGTCCCAAACCGCGCCACAGCCCACTGCGCTGCGGTCACCGGTGGAGCCACGGCTACAACAAGCTGCTGCCCAACCGGGGATCTTGCCCGAGAATGCGCCTCTGGAGCAGGAGTGCACTGCCGATGGATCAGTACCTGGCCCGGCCCCTCAGTCCGAGGCCTCCGTCTCCCGTCAGTCCTCTTTGCACGGCAATGATCCACAGCTCACAAATCCTCCAACCGATCTTCAGCCACAGCCACTGTTTCCCGCCAAAACAGTTATTATCGGTGACTCAATAATCAGGCACATGCGCTATTTTAACGCTATTACGCACTGTTTTCCGGGAGCCACGGTGTCCCAGGTTGTGAGGAGACTTCCTGACCTGCTCCAATCCATGCCCTCTACAATCTATACAATTATAGTTCATGTGGGGACAAATGACATGTCACGTGGGAAATTAGAGAGCACAAAAAGGGACTTTGATGATCTTTTCAGTGTTTTGAAACCATGGACTACGCAAGGCATGTCCGTGTTTATCTCTGGTCCCATTCCCACTCTGTATCACGGAGCTGAGCGACTCGATAGGACCCTTCAACTAAACACCTGGCTCAGCTCCGTCTGCAGGTCCCACCTCATCAACTTCATTGACAATTTCAATCTATTTTGGGACCGCCCTTCACACTACCGGGCATACGGTTTACACCTAAATAGACGCGGAAACCATCTGCTTAAAAACTACATAGTCTATACTGTCCACAACCTGTTAAGTGTACCCGCTACTGTACCCGCACGTGAATGACTGTTTACTTCCCACACGACCCGCCCAGCTGCCTCTTCTTCAGATCGTGCAACACACTGCTGGTCTCAGATTAGCGCCCCCTCCTGGTCGCCACGAAATGAGCACCAAATTGAACTGGCTGGGTCACCACCTCTGCCAATTCTGTCACCACCACTGCAAGCTGGGCCACCACCTCTGCTAGCTGGATCAGGTACACTTATACATGATATCCCAGTGCATATAACTAGACCTATTCAAACTAAAAGACATACGAAAGCTAGATCCATCAGTTGGAATAATATTTTAATTGCTCATGCTAATCCAATGAACAAAGCACCACTGACTTTTAAAATTGGACTTTTAAACATTAGATCTTTGGCCAATAAATCTTTTATAATCAATGACATGATTGTTGATCATCCTCTAGATTGTATGTTTTTAACAGAGACACAGGTACAGATGGAGCCGTAACTTTAAACGAAACCACACCTCCTAACTATAGTTACACATATTCCTCTCGCCTCAATAAAAGAGGTGGTGGCACAGCTGCAATCTTCTCTGCCAAATATAATTTCAAAAATATTCACTTTAATCAGTATCCTTCATTTGAGCATCACTCCCTGGCCTTAACCAATCCCTCCATTCTCTTTATATGTATTTACTGCCCACCTAAACATTCCTCTTCTTTTTTAGCAGACTTCTCAGACCTCCTGTCCATTGCTCATTCAAATTATGATAGAATTATAATTGTAGGTGATTTTAATTTACACATTGATGTCAAATCAGACTCACTAGCAACAGAGTTTTTAAACCTTTTAAACTGTATGAATTTTAAGCAAAATGTTTCACAGCCCACCCACAACAGAGGCCGTATATTAGATTTAGTCATTTCATATGGATTATCAGTAGACATTGCCTCTGTTGTGGACGTGGGCTTTTCAGACCATGCCTGTATATTTTTTAATATAACTATTGAGCAACCCCCCATATCTGAATGCACGGTCAGAAAACGCTGTATTACTGCTGAAGTTATGACAAACTTTACAGAAATACTTAACGACACTCCAACCCCTATTTTATCCTCGTGCGATCTTACTGTTGAATATTTTAATAATAAGCTAAAATCTGCTCTTGATGCTGTAGCACCGCTAAAAGTCAAAACTGTGAAGACAAAAAAGTCCCCTTGGAAAAATGAAAAAAACAAGACAACTTAAGCAAAATTGTAGGAAAGCTGAAAGAAAATGGTGCAAGAATAAAATTACTATAAATTATGAAATTTACCGTGAGCAGATGAGAAAATACAACAATGCCGTGAAATGTGAAAGACAAGCATATCTCTCTCAGCTCATAAGTAACAACATTAAAAATCCCAGGTTTCTGTTTTCCACAATTAGCTCTGTTATTGACCCTGTTCATACTAGGAATGAGCCATCAAACATCCCAAACTGTGAGGACTTTTTGACCTACTTCAGCAATAAAATACAGTCCATTAGAGCTGAAATGCAACAGATCCAACCAGGCAATGCCTGTAATACAAGTCCTTTGGTTTTATCAAATACACTTGAGAGTTTTGCCCTGGTTGATGCTATGACTCAACAAAATATTTTTTCAATTGAAACCAACCACTTGTTTTTTAGATCCTATTCCTACATCGCTTTTTAAATCAGTTTTTAATTTTTTAGCCCAAGAACTTCTTAGTATTGTAAATCTCTCACTACAGACAGGGGTTTTTCCTACAGCATTTAAAACTGCCATGGTCAAACCTCTGCTCAAAAAGGATAACTTGAACTCCTCCCTACTCAGTAATTACAGACCTGTCTCAAATCTGCCGTTTTTAAGCAAAATTTTAGAGAAAATCAGGTCAATGATTTTATGATCTCCAGCAATATTTCTGAAATGTATCAATCTGGTTTTAGAGTTCAGCACAGCACAGAGACTGCATTAGTAAAGATCGTAGATGATATAAGATCCAACATGGACAAGAAAAACCTGTCAGTCCTGGTGCTGTTGGATCTCACGGCAGCATTTGACACTGTAGACCACTGTATTTTATTAGATAGATTGCATTATACAGTTGGTCTCTCTGGGTCTGTTTTTAACTGGTTCAGTTTTTAACAAATAGGGATTTTTATGTTAGCCTTGGGGAGCACTCCTCCGCAAAATGTAAAATGGAGTGCGGTGTTCCCCAAGGCTCAATTTTAGGTCCAACCCTTTTTAATCTTTACATGCTGCCACTAGGACAGGTCATCAGGAGACACGGTGTTAACCTTCATAGCTACGCTGATGATACCCAACTCTATATCGCTGTGTCTCCCGATGACCTAAGCCCGATCGACACCCTTTTTAACTGCATTTTAGATATTAAGTCCTGGATGGCAGCAAACTTCCTCCAGCTCAACCAGGGCAAAAGTGAGGTTTTAATAATTGGTCCTGAAGCTCAGAGAGAGAGGCTCAAAGCTAGGCTCCAAACCTACTCACTGAACCCCTGTGAGAGGGTGAAAAGTTTAGGAGTTATTCTTGATAGTGAGCTTAGCTTTGAGCCACACATCAGGTCCATCACTAAATCTGTTTTTTATCATCTAAAAAATATTGCCAGAGTCAGACCATTTCTCTCTCAAGCCAGTGCAGAGACTTTAATACATGCTTTTATCACAAACCGTGTTGGTTACTGTAATGCTCTCCTTTCTGGTCTTCCAAAGAAATCTACAGCTCCATTGCAGCTCCTTCAAAACTCTGCAGCACGGCTGCTGATGAGGACCAGGAAGAGAGAGCACATCACCCCGGTACTGGTCTCTGCACTGGCTCCTGTGAGCTTCAGGATAGATTTTAAAGTTCTTTTATTGGTTTATAAAGCTCTTAATGGTCTTAGTCCTATTTATTTATCTGATCTGCTTTTATCATATGAGCCCTCTCGGACTCTCAGGTCCTCAGGTAGTCTTCTTTTAACTGTCCCAAGAGTCCAAACTAAAACTCACGGTGAGGCGTCATTCAGCTTTTACGGCCCCCGTTTGTGGAACAGTCGACCTGAGGATCTGAGGTTCGCTGCGAGTGTTCATATTTTTAAAAGTAAACTCAAAACGTATCTTTTTAATTTAGCTTTTAATTGAAACTTTTACTTGTTTTATCCTCATCATTATTATTATTATTATTATTATTATTAGCTTTTAATTAAATTACCATTAATATTTTATTTAGTCTCCATCTGTTTTTAGCTCTCTATTTATATATTTACTATAACTTTTAGGAGCTTTATGTTTATGTTTTATTGTTGTATATATGCATGACATAATGGAGTGGGGGGGTTGCTGTTATTTTTTAATATTGTAAATTTTCTGTTGCATGTGAAGCACTTTGTGCTACATTTCAAATGTATGAAAAGTGCTATACAAATAAAGTTTGATTGATTGATTGATATTTTATTCAAACTGCTAGCCTGTGGCACATTGGCATGTCAGTGATATTTAGGGTATTTATTTTCAAATTGTCAGCACCACCTGCTCCTGCTCTGTGGGTGGTCACTACAAAAGTGAAGGGAGAAACAAACAATAAAAAAAACAAAACTATGGAAAACATATAGATAAAATTATTTTAATAATAATAATGGTTTGAACAAATAACACTGCATTACAGAACACAACTGTATGTTTCAAATGAGAGATGAATCCAAGAGAGCATAATTTATATATATATATACACACACACATATATATATATATATATATATATATATATATATATATATATATATATATATATATATATATATATATATATATATATATATATATATATATATATAGTAAACAAAATATGATTTTCAAAAAACTTACAAGTTGGCTATAAAGATAAAAAATATATATAATAACAACAATAATGATAAATATAGCCGCAAGCGGCAATGATCGGCCCTCGCACGTGCTTACGCCGTGCCCCGCAAACACCGCACCTCACACTGACCCTAATAAGCCTAAGCTTAAACCTTACCCTAATCATAATCCTAACCATAGCTCCAACCCTAGCCCTAAAAATCTTAATTTAACCCTGCAAATTTCAAAATTTGGCAAAAAAAATTATCCAAGATGGCGTACTTCTGGTTTGTAAAGGGGCGTGGTCACAATATACATTTTTGTTCTTATTGCCATGATGCATCTGGCTACCAAATTAGGTTTGGCTACGCCAACGTTTGTGTAAGGACGTCCCATTGGCAAGGATACAATTTTGGCTTGCTGCCATGGCAACACAATGTAAACGGGATGTGAGCATCATTGAGTTTTTTAATCAAGACCATGTCACAAATGTGGATACCAAATTTTGTATATCTGTGACAAATGAAACCTTATTTTTACATACAAATTTTCTAGGGGGCGCTATTACACCCATTTTTGTATTTTCTTACATCAGTCTGGTCGGGGTGTGAACCCACGATTAAAATGTGAGTAAAATCGGCCAAAGTTTGTGCAAATTATCAGTCGTCGAAGTTTGATGGTGAGCCCTAAAAACGAACCTGAAATTTGCACCGTTGCCATGGCAACACCGTGTGACCTTTTAAAAAGCTTTTAACAACTTTTAATGTCCCACTTGTCTAGATGATACAGAATGATTCTGTCTGGGTCAAACGCCCAAGGACGAGTTCATTCAAGTACGAGGACAGGTCGCACGATCAATCCAATATGGCCGACTTCCTGTTGGTTGCCGAGCAACCGCGTAATATGCTTTTTTGTTCCTATTCCCATGATGCATCTGTGTACCAAAATTGGTTTGGCTACGCCAAAGTTTTTGTTGTGTGTCCCATTGGCAGATGTTTGGCCTGTCACCATGGCAACACGATGGGAAATGGCATGGGGTCGTCTTTGACTTTTTTGATCAAGACCATGTCATGAATCTGTGTACCAAATTTTATATGTCTACAACAAAGTAAATGTTTGCAGTACCATGCAATTTCCCTAGGGGGCGCTATTGCACCCATCTGAGATTTTCTTATATAAATCTGTTCAGGGTCGGGGTGTCAATCAACGATTAAAATTTGAGCGAAATCGGCCAAAGTTTTTGTGCCAGAATTTGTAGATTTTACCAATGGAGAGTTTATGTCATCGCTATGGCAACGCCATAAAAAATATGACATGGGTGTCACTGACTTTTGGATCAGGATGCCAAAATGGAATATTGTGCAAAATTTCAGAAATTTTTGAGCAACTATTTGGGAACAAATGATTTTCTTCCATATTAAATTTTGTTTCAATCTATAGGGGGCGCTAATGCGCCAAATTAATGATTTTCACATTAAGTAGCTTCAGGGCAGAGAGTTTAACAACTGTTTAAAATTTCAATGAAATCGGAGTTCGTTTGAGCAAATGGGAGCAATTTGTAAATCTCCTAAATTGTGTACATTTTTTGTTGCTTCACTGTTCAGAGATCGTAAGACGTGTGTGAAAAATGTGGATAAGTTTTGATGTTTCACGTCTTGAGATAATGTGGACCAAATTTGAGCTCGTTCGGGTGAACGCCCTCGGAGGAGTTTGTAAAAGCTTAGCAAACTTTAAGCCAATATTACTGCCCCCTAGTGGGGTGCACGGTGTTGGTGTAATAATATTTTTTCCTTGTCTTGACCTGATTGATTTCTGTGTCAAATTTCATGATTGTCCTTGCAAATTTTTTTTTGTGTGATTCGTATTCCCTAATGCATTTTTGAGTCGTTTGGGGGCGCTGACAAGCCATTTTATTTCTGTTTGGAAAATGAAAATAGCCAAAACGTAGGGAAGCGCGAGTTTTACCAGATGGAATAATTTCCAGGACTTTTTATTATTGTTTAGTGGGTGAAAAATGGGTGAGTTGGTTAGGAAAAAAATAATAAGAAAGAAGAAAGAAGAAAGAAAGAAAGAATATTCTGATGCGAGAACAATGTTCCGCTTTTTTTTGGCCGACAAACTATACATTTTCGGAAACCTCAGGCACATTGCTACGTCATGTCGAGGGTCCCTGGTCACTACGGGCGAGTCACGTCGCGCCATTCCATTTTTCGACCACTTGGAGCATCGCTTTGCGATACTAATAGGCCCTTCGCCGGCCTCTGGCGCTCGGGCCTAATGATAATAATACAAAAATGAATGAAAGTGAATTGTCTTTTTTTGCCTTTTTTAACAACCTTCTCAATATGATATGATTATTTTCTTTTGTATCTCTATTAATCTTTCTAATCGCTGCTGTTTTTTCAACAAGATGAGTTTAGATTTGGTTTTGTCTTGATTTAGTCATGATTAAAAATGCATTTTTGAGACTTTTTTCAGCCTGATCCTTGGTAATGTTTTTCCAAGCTTGAGGGATGTCTGCAGGTTTGGCATGATATGCTTTCGCAAAGTCTTCATTGAAGTTTGCCATGACATATTTCCAATAATCCGATTTTTCAAGACTTATATCTGGAGGAATCTTCCAGTCTGGGTAAATTTCTTGGTATCTATTGAATGGTTGATAACACTTCTTACCATTGTCATCGTAATACCCAAAATTTCGATCAGAGTTCACAAGAGAGGTGCATATGTCTGAAACAAGTTCCTCTGAAAATTCAGATCTCCATGCCCCCAGAGCCTGTGAATGATGAAGTGATGTCCAGTGCTCCGTGTGGGCTGCTCCTCCTGCTTCACAAGGAGCTTTGCAAAATGGGCACTGTTTACCACATCCGATCACTCTGACAAAAAGCTCATGCTGAACGTCAACAGAGCACTTCTTGAGTTTGGAATAGATATCTGTGTCTTGGAACTTCTGTTGACAATCTTTCTCCATTTGTTTTAAACTGTTTAAAAGGTAATAAGCAAACTGGTCCTGCTCTGCAGTGTTTAGGATCATGAAAGTTCCAACTGCATCTTGGGAAATAACTAATTTATCACTTAGTTCTTCACAGATGTTCCTAACAAAACATTTTAGGGTTTTGTTCTTCTCAGTTTTAGCCTTTTTGACAGCAGCATTTATCCTGTTGATACATGCCTGGATATGCCGATTCTCAAACTCACTCGTTGAAGCCTGAGATGAAAAGTGTGAGATTATTTGTTTACATATCCATTGTTGCACATAAGCCTCATAGTCGTTAATGTAGGAATGGAAGAGTCCAAACTGGTTCTGTGAGATCAAATCCAGCAGAATTGAATACTGGAAAAACATTCTGGTGCTGAACTTTTGACATTTCAGCATTTCACCAATAATGTCATGACCCAGGGAGCGATTGACAAAGTCTTCAACTGCAGGTCTCAAAAACTGATTTGTAAACTCCTCTGCTTTCTTTTGGCACTGGTCTCGCTCATGGAACACATCTTTGAAATCAGCACGGAATTTTTCCTTTTTTTCATACAGACATCCGTAAGGATCATTTTTTTCTAAAAAATTATTTTGCATTACTTCAAAGTCATGTGCTGCTCTTGCACATATGTGCTTCTTGAGTAAAACTTCAAACTCTATGTCCAATTTGAGGTCTTCATTCTGTTGCAATCTCTCATCAATCATGTGAAGGATCTCTACAGTGTAGGTGTCATGGTAGTTGGATTCTCTTTGTTTTTTACTGTTCACTGATTGTTGGCAAGCATCTATGATACTGTCAGCCAACCTCTGCACCGTATTCACTTGATCATCATTGTAATAGAATGTGTGTGCTATTTCTATCCACCCTTTAGGGTTGTACACAAAAGGTTGGTATCTTTTGGTATCAGGTAATTTAGTTTTATTTAGAAGCTCACTTGCATAACTTCCTTTGGGCGAAAGGTTTGCCTGCAGACAGTGAAAAACCCTGGATGTAACATTAATCATCTCTGGACGGAAGCATAATAATTTTTCAATGTTTACAGCCCACATGTTGTCAAATTCTCTGTCTAACTCTGTATCAGTCATTTTGGTTTGGTTATTGCGGCACCGCAGAATCAATTCAAGCACTCTCTCTTCTATTTCTTGTGTAAGGTTTTCCTTGATTTTTTCCAACTCCCTCATTCCTTGTCGGATTTCAACAGTTGCAGTAAGCTGATTTATTATTGACTTTTCCAACTCCCTCCGAGTAACTTTTGCACCAGTCATGAACTCCTCTTTATACCTTTCCACCAGATTCACATGGCCATCTGTCTGTTTGAAGTACTGTGTGAGCTTCTCAAGGAGTTTAGTTTCTCCTTTGGACAGTTCTGTGCATGCAGCAGTTTTCAAGTCACTCAGAAGTTTTCCAATGTCTCCTGTATCATTTTCAACAGAAACTTTCCCATAATTTGAAATTCTTGTTTGAGCATTTGTGACCCATGTGTACATGTCTTTTCTGAAGTTATATTCCCATTTGTTGTATTCTGTGCCTAGTCTCATGTATGCATCAGCCACCAGGGTGTTTCTAAAGCTGAAGATGAAGTTTTCATACTTCACAGCGGTCCAGAGACTCCTTATCCACTCCTGAAACTCCAGGACATTATTGGCAGATGATTCACTTTTGCTCAGAATTTGGATGATGTTTTTCTTGAGTTCATACACAGCTTCACTGTAACCTGCATTGACTGGAGCCATTGGAGGGGTTCCATTCCACAGTCCTGGGATGTACCAGTTTCCTGTTTCTGTGCTGTACTCCATCACATCAGTGAAACACTTGTTCTTGTCCTTCTTTTCCATTTTGGCTGCAGCCTGTGTCATCGCATTCAACTGTTCCAAAAGAAGTTTCCTATCTTGAAAATTCTTCTCATGCGCTGAAATATCTGACACATTCTGATGAACAAACAGACATTTGCGCCTTTTTCCAACTTCTTTCATTCTAAGAAATGCATGAACAACTATCTGCAGGATGTCCTTCATTTCAGTGGAGTTCTCCATTGCAATATTTATTAAAGTGATGTCACTTAACCCCACAACGAGGGTTGCCAGCTCATTGTCATGTTCATAACTATTGTCCAGTTTTGCGAGCTCTGGAGACTTCAGACCCTCAGTGTCAATGATCATTAAGAAGTCACAGTTGAGTTTTTCTTTTACTTCTTCACTGACTCTTATGAGGAGCATAAAGGCTCCTCGAGTGCAGCGTCCACTGCTCACTGCAAACTGCACTCCAAACATTGTGTTGAGGAGAGTGGACTTTCCTGTGCTCTGTACTCCCAGAACTGTGATCACTAAGATTTTACTCTGGCAGGACACCAACTGATGGAGCTCAAACAGAACATCACTCACCCATCTGAGAGGGATGTTGGAGGCATCTCCATCCACCAGCTCCAGAGGGAGTCCCTCCAGCAGCAGCTCTGCACAGAGCCTGGGTAAGTGCTGCAACTGTAGACGAGAAGGGTGGTCTTCAGGAAGAGACACTGAGGCTTCATATATCTGACCCATTTCACGAACAAAATGCTCTACCCCCAGAGAACTGCCTGAAAGTTGACGATCAAGATCTTGAATCACCTTTTTGTTCTTAGATTCTTTTGATTCCTCTTTGTACTTCTCTCGAAGGCCTGATAACTTCTGTCGAGAAAGGTTATCAAGATTAAGACGCATCCATTTCAGAAAATAGCACCTTTCAATACCAGAGGTTGATATTGCATTAATGAAGCATGACATGGCTGTAGACATACCATTAGAATTTTGTTTTTTCCTTAGTAGTTTCTTTTTATCCTGCAGAAAACTTTTATAACTGTCAATATTTTCAGAGCCAGCATTTCTAAGTCTACACTCCTCTTTTTCCAGAGAGGTCAGTTCCTTCCAGATCTGACCTTGCAAAGGAAGCTGGGTTTCTTTGTACTCAAGTGTGTCATGGACTTTAGATGTAATAGCATTTGCATTTTCTTTCGCTTTCAGACACTCGGGACAGTCTTCATCAACTTTTATTCCAAGGTCATGCGCAACGTCTGCCATGCGCTCTATTCGCATCCTAAACTTTGAACACTTCTGAACAACACTCCTAATTTTCCCCTGGAGCATTGTGACAAAGTCTGCATCATTAATTTTTTGAGTTTTTAGAGTGATTTTGTGGTCTGTCAATTTCAAATTTTTACCTAACCTTTTAAAATCTTCTTTATTAAAGTTCTTGCTTTGAGAGTTACTAACTAAGAAAATATCAGCCTTGCTTTTATGAAGCATGTCACAGGCCAAATCCAGTTTGTCACAGAAGACAAACACTGCACATGACGTCTCACATAAAAAAGCGAACTGTGGTATAGACGAGGAAATGTCTCCACGGAGGTTGGCTACTGTTACAGGCTCACTGAAAATGTCAATGTTCTTCTTTCCACATGGAAGGTACCAAGCTATTTCAACTATTCCATCAGAAATCTTTCTCGGACAGTCCCCACCCTCCATATTGTGATGCACAAATGTGTCATGATATTGCTGAGAATTGTTCAAGAGTTTATTGAGAATCTCTGACTTAGACAAAGAACATTCTCCGAGTCTCACAAAGGAAACCATTGGAATTTCAGAATGAACAATGTGTTCTTCAATGAAACCCTTAGACTCCAACAGTGACTGAGGTCTGTATTTTTTCACAATGTCCCTCAGGGCCCAGAGCATCATTGTGCACTGTTTGGTGTCAGGGTTTGGAAGCAGCAGAGGCACCGCAAACTGACACATTGACATTTTCAGTGTGAGTTCCTGCTGCACAAATCCATCAGAGCAAAGGAAGAGTGCAGTAATGATGTCAAGAGGGTTTAACATAGCACCTGATGTTTGACCGGCCAGTAGAAAGTCCGGATTAAACCCAGTCTCTTCCAACGATACTTCACAGCTATGTGACACTTTGTCTTTGACATTTCTGGCTGTTACATTCACCATCATTAATTTCTTCAGAAAATTCCATGCTATGTTTCTGACAGACCCGACTGATGTTTCTGTAATACTCTTCTCATCAATCTGTAGAACTGTGCTCAGGGTCAGCTTGTCTTTGTACTGCTGCTCCAGGCCCAGATCCTCCAGCAGGCTCTCCAAACGTGTATCTGGAAATAAATAAGAACAGTTATGTCCAGTACATTTTGTTTATGTTTCAAATTAATGCTGAAGCTTTTTTTTTGTTTTTTTTTTTTTTTGTTTATAAGCTAGTGTCATGGGTCATTATACCCACTTGTAGCATTTGATTTGCTTGATCTTTTGACCATGGAGGCAAATATACCCCTGTAGACAGTTGGTAACTTAACCCACCAATCTCTAAAATAAAATAATAATAATAATAATAGAAAAATCTTTCAAAACCAACTCTTCTCTCTGCTTAAAAGCAGGAGGAAGCACCGCACTACCGTCAGATGTGTGTTGTTGCTTTAAGATGACGGTGGATGGCACACTGCAAACCAGAATTACTGTTTCTGTGTTGATACAGTTTTTTGTGTACTGGTTACTACCACAGTCACTTAAAGCCACAAACTCATTTGACTGTCTAAAGAGTTGCAAAATGTTTATTGCCTTTGTCAGTGAACAAAGTTAGAGAAACTGTGAATTTGCTTTGGCATTTTGGCTCTAATAATAGGATTTGCCAATAATGTTTGTGATAATTATAATTCCTATTACTTCTTATTTATCTATGTGGAGTTAATATGACTGACTGAGATTAAGGAGCAGGAACATACCTCAACCTCCCTCTCCTCCTCTCCAACAAACCATAGCTCACCCCAACCACACCTCTAATTTCCCAGAAGCCTATTTGTAGCAGCCTATCCCATCAACTCAGTTTGTCTCAGCTATCTCGAGCCCACCTCCCACCCCATCTCTTGTCTGTCTTTCAGCTATAAGACAGTGACGTGCATTCAGGAGAGGCAAGGTAGGCAGAGCCTCACGTGTCAATCTTAAAAAGAAAAAGAAAAGTTGATTATAAAATATAATACATTTTAACATTTGTCACCTGGTATGTATTACAAATCCCTTTTCCGTACAAATCCAGTAATAAAAAATATTTTGAATTAAAAATGTCAAAACGTCTGCATGTTCCAGTCAAATACAGAGAGGAGGAGATGCGGTAATACCTATGGTAATACCTATGGTAATACCTAATAAATAGTGTCTGTATGCAATGCAAATAATGTGTGTCACTGTCCTGTCTATCCAAAATAAAACACTCTGACGATGTGTTCTGACTTTCCAAAATTTTGATTATGTATGAGATATATTTCTCTAACATGTTTAGGCTTGCAGATTAGTTATAAAACAGCAGTAAAAAGTTACTCGGTGAGGCAAACAGTAGTAGCCTCAGCAAGCATGAGCGATTAGCCACTCACATTCAAAGTCAGATCACTTTGAAAACTTTTGGAGTTTGAAGGATAGACTTAGCCTTGGATGAACAGCGGAGACTAAACATTAGCCTACACAATGCAAAGGTAAAAGAGAACAGAGAAATTTTAAAAGACCTTATCAACGCAACCTGTTTCCTCGCTAAGTAGCACCTAGCATTTCGTGGCAATGATGAGAGCACAGGAACCATGGAAACTATGTAGAGCTATTATACGCTTTTGCTGAGAAAGACAAGAGGCTAGTGAAAAATTTAGCTACATCTACTCTGTTTTCTGGCTTGTCAAATAGAATACAAAACAATCTTATTGAAGCAGTCAGCGATGTCATCAGAAATTATATTAGAAATCAAATTAGCACAGCCTCATTTGTAGCAGAAGTAGACAAGGCAACTGATGTGACAAATAAAGCTCAGATCTCTGTCATTTTGCGCTATGTAAAAACTGAAGCAGCTTGTGAAGTGAAGGAGATGTTTTTGGGTTTTGATGACATGAGTGCAGATAGACAAGCCCCTGCTATAGCCGAGTATATTATAGGTGTGTTGGAGAAATAAACCTGTGTTGAAAAGCTTGTAGCCCAGACATATGATGGGGCTGCTGTAATGGCAACAGACCTTAATGGGATGCAGGCTAAAATAAAAGAAAAGGTATCTGAAGCCATGTTCACCCATTGTTATGCGCACAAGTTAAAACTTTTACTAATGCATTCAGCAAAGTGCATCCCTGAATGTCGAGTGTTTTTTAAAACAGTTGAGGGACTAGGGGCATTTTTTAGCAAGTCCACCAAGTGCACGCACTTAATGGATGAGGTGGTGAAGCGACGTTTACCCAGAGCAGTGCCTACAAGATGGAGCTCTAACTCCAGCCTAGTCCAGACAATAAGCATGTACCAAAACGATCTGCGTGCTTTATTCCATATCATGGAGGAAAATCCTGACAACTGGGATAATGAGACTTTGATGTTGGCAACTGGATATGACCGGTGGCTGTCAAAAGCATCAACATGCTTCTTACTTATGACATATGAGGACATTTTCAATAAAACTGTAATATCCTTGTTAATGAAGGATGAGCGGACCACAGGTTGTAGATGACTTTTGGTTTTTACTGAACGTTACTCAATCACAGTTCAACAGCAACCGGGAACAACTGACACATTTTTCCCAACCTTCCGCCTATGCCGCCACCTAGTGGTCAACACGGGGTATAACATGTATCTACTACATTCCTCCCCTCTTAAGCTATTACTTTCATCTTAACTACTCAAACAAAAATTAACTAATTATTCTGTAGCTTTCCAAAACTAGCCACCTTCACATTTAACTGTGTCATCTTCTCAAACATTATAATAACCCTGACACAACCTTTTTCTTTTTTTTTTTTTTTGGTTAAGAATCAACATTCATAGTCTTTCAGATAACTAGGTTTTGAGACAGTCCGTTGAGAACGCCGTGCAGCTGTTTGCTGGGGTGGTGCGTCCTTTGCTGCATCTGGGGCCGGAATATCTGTCACAGGTGGTTTTGGGTTTTCTTGCACAGTTCCTTCTGGAGCACAGCTATTTCTCACTGGCACAGGATCAGCTGAAGACAAATCCACCATGGGTGGTTCTATGATCTTAGGGTCTACTAGGTCCGCGTCTTCCGGTCTGGCCAGTATCTGGTCAACATGCCTTCGGACAACTGTTCCATCTCCCAACATGACCTTGTAAGACACCGGTCCCGTGACTTTGGTAATAAAACCCCGAACCCATTTAGGCCCATAACTGAAGTTCCGTGTAGACACTGCATCTCCCACTTGGAAACCTCTTCCTGATCCGAGCTTGTCGTGATGCTTCTTCTGCATGCACTGCTTCCGTTCCACCTTGTTTCTGAGGTCCGGATGCCCTAGATCCAGTGTCGATCTCAACCTCCTGCCCTGCAACATTTCCGCTGGTGACAGCCCTGTGGTGGACTGAGGGGTAATGCGGTAACTAAACAGCACTCTTGAAACTTTAGTATGGATGCTACCTTCACCTGCTTTTTTCATCATGGACTTAAATGTCTGGACTGCACGCTCGGCACAGCCATTTGAAGAAGGATGATAAGGAGCTGAAGTGATGTGTTCGATTCCGTTCTTCCTCATGAATTCTTGGAATTCGGCACTCACAAAGCACGTACCATTATCTGACACAATCATCTCAGGTAATCCTTGACTGCTGAAACTTCTCCGCAGACATTCAATCGTATTGGCAGAAGTTGCTGAGGTTACCGCGTAGGCGTCCATCCATTTGGAATAGGCATCCATCAGTATCAAAAACATGTGACCCATAAAAGGACCCGCATAGTCTATGTGTAGCCTCTGCCACGGTTTACTCGGCCACTCCCAAGGGTGGAGTGGTGCTGGAGCTGGTAAGTGGCGATGTTCTTGGCAGGTGCTACATCTTTTCACTACAGATTCAATGTCTGCATCTAACTTTGGCCACCAGAAGTAGCTTCGTGCTAATGCTTTCATTCGGGTGATGCCTGGGTGACCATGATGCAGTTGACCCAGTAATGCTTCGCGACCTGTCGGGGGTACCACCACGCGTGACCCCCACAATATACACCCATCTTGCACACTTAATTCGGTTTTCCTCACCGCATAAGGCTGGAAAGCTGAGTCTGAGTGTTGTAGTGGCCAGCCATGTTGAATGAACTGACAGACTCTGGACAGCACTGGGTCTTTTCGTGTCCACTGGCTAATTTCACTGGCTGACACGAGCGTTACCTCCTCCAGCATCAGTACGCGGTCCTCCTGCTCTCTCCTGACTGAGGCAGGGGGAGCCGGCTCAGAGCGTCCGCATTGCTGTGGTGTTTACCCGGCTTATAGACAATCTCATACTCATATGCTCGCAAAGTCACTGCCCAGCGCTGAATGCGAGGGGATGCCATTTGAGGCACTGCTTTCATCTCACTGAAGAGGGACAGTAAAGGCTTGTGGTCTGTACAGATGATGAACCTCCTTCCATATAAATATTTATGGAAGCGCTGAATGCCAAACATCACCGCCAGTCCTTCTTTGTCCAGCTGCGAGTAGTTTGCTTCAGCTGCCGTGAGTGTCCGTGACATGAAGCCAATAGGCCGCTCTTGCCCGTCTGGCATGCGATGCGACAACACCGCCCCTACTCCGTAAGGCGACGCATCGCAGGACAGGATTAAGTCTTTATGGCTGTCATAATGCACTAACACCTCTGACGACTGCATGAGCCTCTTAGACTCCTCAAAAGCTCTCTCTTGCTCCTCCTGCCAGTTCCACGGCGTTTCTTTCCTTAACAGTCTGTGCAAGGGAGCTAACCGTGTTGAGAGATTTGGCAAGAATCTGTTGTAATAGTTGAGCAGGCCTAAGTAAGCTCTCAGTTCTGTGACATTAGTTGGTGCTGGTGCCTGTTGTATAGCCCTGACCTTGTTTGGCAGAGGGTGGAGCCCCGCGGCATCCACTTTGTGTCCCAAGAACTCGGCCTCTCGCTCCATGAAGACACATTTGTTGCGCTTCAGACGAAGACCAGCCTCTCGTAGCCGCTGTAGGACTTCGTTCAAGGTCTCCAGGTGCTCGTGGTCACTCCGACCGGTCAGCAGGATGTCATCTAAATAAACTGCCACATTAGGGATTCCCGCCACCAGACCCTCCATTATCCGTTGAAAAATGGCAGGACTAGAGGAAACACCAAATGGTAGGCGATTCACTTGAAAAAGCCCTTTGTGTGTGTTGATTGTGACATAAGGCTTTGATGCCTCATCGAGGGTGACTTGTTGATATGCGTGACTAAGGTCCAGTTTAGTAAACTTCTCACCCCCGGTCAACTTCTCAAATAAGTCCTCCAACTTGGGTATTGGATACTGCTCTAGCTTGGAAACTTGGTTTACTGTGAGCTTGTAGTCCCCGCAAACACGCACCGAACTATCAGTCTTTAACACCGGCACTATTGGTGCAGCCCACTCTGAGAACCTCACTGGCTCAATTATGCCCTCCTTTGTGAGCCTTTCCAGCTCTAACTCTACTTTCTTCCTCATGGCAAAAGCCACGGGCCTGGGCTTGTAGAACTTTGGAGCCACGTCCGCTTTTACGTATATTTTTGCGGGCGGGCCTCTCCAGGTTCCCAGTTCTTCTTTGAATACCTCTTCATTCTGCTTTAGCACATTCTGTAACGTTAGCTGAGGCTGTTCCATCTTATTGACAAACACACACAGTTCATTTCCAACTCTCTTAGCCATGCTCGGCCTAGCAGGTTTGGCCCCCTCCCTGCTACCACTACTACTGGCAACTGCTTGACTTTGTCTTTGTAGGTTACTGTTACCATTGCCGTTCCTAGTGTAGAGACTTTTTCACCTGTGTATGTTTTCAGAGTCAATGAGCAGTTTTGTAACTCCTGTGCGTTTCCCGCTGCCCATAACTTGCTGTATTCATCTTTTGTCAAAATCGACACACTACAGCCTGTATCCACTTCAAACTGTACCATGTTCCCATTCAGATCTAGCTGTGTGGTAATGGGGTCTACCTTTGCCATTTTTGAGTCTTTTAGGTTGTGCATTGAAAACACTTCTTCGTCACTGGACTGGGGATCCGTGGACTCGCTCATATGATGCGCGTACTGCCTTTTTTCTTTCCAGCTAGCCTTTTCACCCTTGACATACTTCTTCCCTCCCCCCTTAGCCTGTTGCTGGTCCCTAGGAGGAGAGAGGACCTGCACATCTTTTTCACGTGCCCCTTTTTCCCACACCCATGGCACTTTTCATTTAGAAACCGGCAGTCCCGTGCCAAGTGTTCCCCCCCGCACCTATAACAGGCCAATGGAACACTCTTGCTTTGATCTTTAGGTCGTACATTCACCTTATGCACTGACAGCGGCGGTGCAGCCTTGCTCACAGTACTGTCCAGCGCCTTTGATTGCAAGTCACGTATATCCTTGTTCGCTGTCTCGATGGCCTGCGCGACTTTCAGGGCTTTATCAAACGTCAGCTCCGGCTCCGCTAACAGTCTCCTTTGAATGCGATCATCCGCAATGCCGCACACAAGCCTATCGCGCAGCATCTCCTTCAGCTTATCACCGTAATTGCAATGTTGCGCCAGCTCTCTCAGCACAGCCACATACTCCAACACAGTCTCATTTGCCGCTCTAGTCCTTGAATTAAACTTAAATCTCTGGACTATTTCACTGGGCTTTGGATTGTAATGTGACTGAAGCAAACCAGTCAATTCCGCGAATGACTTGGCACCCGGCTTCTCTGGACTTAGCAAGTTCCTCATTAAACTATACGTCCTGCTGCCGACGGAGCTCAACAAAATCGCTCGCTTTCTTCCTGCGTCCGTAATCCCATTTGCCTCAAAGAAGTGCTCCAAAACTTCACAATATTCCTCCCAGGTCTGTATCTGACTGTCAATCACCGTCAGCGCTCCCACCATGGAAGTAGCCATCCCGCCGCTAGCGCCAGCTTCCTCGCCGTCCGACATTAGCCGAGAAACTGTTTCATGAAACACTCAAGCTGTTTCCTGCACCAACAGCGTCTCCCGAGTTCACCAGTTTCCTCGTCGCCAAATGTAATATCCTTGTTAATGAAGGATGAGCAGACCACAGGTTGTAGATGACTTTTGGTTTTTACTGAACGTTACTCAATCACAGTTCAACAGCAACCGGGAACAACTGACACATTTTTCCCAACCTTCAGCCTATGCCGCCACCTAGTGGTCAACACGGGGTATAACATGTATCTACTACAAAAACAGACTCACTTTTTAGAGTGCTGCAAAACAAAGTGTTGGGTATTCAGTATTGTTGTGGGCACATCCATGACACACTCCGGGCTCTAGAACTCAAAAGACAGGATTTTGACAGCTTTTATTACCGATTTGAGCAGAAATGTGGTGAACTTGGTCTGACAAACACTCAGTCAGAGATGAACATAATTTTGGTAAGCTAGCTTTCCTTGATTTATTGGATTGCACAAAATTTAGTGAGATGTCACAACATTTCGATGACACGAAACTGCAGAGCTTGTCAAAATATGCAAGTTTTTTTTACTTTGTGAGACTAAAGGCGGATCTAATCGGACTGTATAGCTCCCAAACGGTAAGGAATGAATGCAAGTCTCCTGGACAACTTGTCAGCTTTTTGACCCAGAACGACCTCATCCAGACTGTCCCTGAGGCAACTAAGTTACTCCAGTTAGTGCTCACAATACCAGCAACAACAGCTTCTGTGGAGAGATCCTTCTCAGCATAAAAATTGAATAAATCAAACATCACTGCTATAAAACATGTACGAAGGGAGGTACCTTACCTACTGGGCCGATTGATTGAGATGGAGCCCCCACCCTGAGTCACAACCCAGCCAACTGTACCTCATTTGTCTCATCATTCATCTCATCATTCATCAATAAATATCTTCATTGCTAGTGAACCATCTTTAAACTGATAAATAAATAAATAAATAAATGTATATATACTCTGAGATGATGGGATTGGCTTACAAATGCAAACATAGTTGTTGCCTATTCTATTCTACTTGCTAATCCAGAGAACAAGATTTCACTTTGGTCACAAGTTTTAATCAGGAATCAGTGATCATATATTGATACTTTTTATTGTTATTTAAACACAAAATATTTTAGTAAAAGAATTATAATCATATAAGATTAATAATGCTTTTGAAGGTGCAACTGTTTTCATTCATCATCTAAAAATATCCTATGGCTTTGATGTTCTAGAATATAACACAGAGAGCACATTTACAATCAGTATCACATGAGAATTTTGCATTCTCTTACCTGCAAGGGCTTGTGTAGCAGGAAAATGATCAGATTCCAAGGAAACCGTTGCTGTCTCATAGTCTATTGGGGGCAATAAGGGCATACCTGAAATTAAACAGAAATTCGAGTTTAAGTTGCAGAGCCCTCTAATCCGTTTCTATTTCTACTTGGATGGGAGACACTGGGAAATCAGGTGCCACAGGGGGCACCAGTCGCAAAACTGCCGTTGTGTCCTTAGGCAAGACACTTCACCCACATTGCATAGTATGAAAGTGGTGTGTGTGTGAGTGATGGTGGTGGTCGAAGGGACCGATGGCGCCGATTGGCATGGCAGCCGCGCATCTGTCAGTCTGCCCCAGGGCAGCTGTGCCTACAATAGTAGCTTACCACCACCGGGTATGGAGTGAATTAATAATACTGAATAATGCTCTATAAAGCATCTTTTTGACAAATGTCTGTGAAAAGTGCTATATAAATAAAGACTTGCTTCCTCTATTCAGTCTTAGCGCTCAGGAATTACCCTTATTCACAAACTGACCTCCAGAGGGAATTGCCCATCTTTATCCCACTGCCACGTTTCCATGCTGGTTAAATGATTGCAAAAGTCCGAACCTCGTCATCCTGCTAAACGCTTACCTCTCATTTCAGACATCCTCTATGTTTGCATTCGCACTGTTTGCTTTGGATACCTCTCGCAACCCGTGGATCTCACCCTTGAATGCATGTTCCTCTTGGCCTTCTTCAAAACACTGAAGAAGTTTTAGTCAAGAGCTTTCGACCTGTCCATCCACTCTAACCCAAACCCTAGGGGTCCCATACCAGTTGGGCCGACTGACTGAGACAGAGCCCCCACCCTGAGTCTCAACCCAGCCACCTCTATCTCATTTATCTCATCATTCATCAATAAATATCTTCATTGCATGATGTTGTTGGTGTGGTCCTTGCTACTGAACCATCTTTAAACTGAAAGAGAGATAGATATATAAGCCAGTCCACAGCTCATGGAAAAAGTTGCAAAAGTTCTCATTAAAATGCCAAAAAATGATTTTATTTATGGGAAATAGTCTTAGTTCTTGTAACATCACAGTTTTATTCTTTGTTTTGGCATTCCCTTATCAGTGCTATTGCAGTTTGGTTCCATAGGTTTAATCGGGAAACATTCCATAACATTTTCATGGATTTGATGTCCATCCCACAAAACTTTAATAATTTTTAAACAAAAACTACAAAATTAGTTTGAATAAGCTCCTTAAGACATCATCCAACTGTTTATAATAATAATATGCCAATTTCAGTTTTCTTTGATTGCCCTTCTCTGAAATAAACATTTAGGCACAGCACATCGAGTTGAGTTGCTCTGCATTCGTCTCCTCCTGCCTGCGCTCTTCTTAAGATGTGATGCGAAATGTGATACATATATAAAAATGCTTTAGTTCATGTCTCAGTGTTTCATTTTTAAAATCTAATGTAAAAACTGAATTTTTTAAACAAACAAATTATTTTACAGCTGCAATGATAATTTTATTCTCTTACTGTCAATTTAAAAGTGTATATAGCCTATATCTATATCTATAAAATCTATATACATAAGGAGCTCACAGTGACTGCCTATCCCTTGGTTCTGAATATAAGTTCCCCATTAATTTTCTTATGGACTTTCTGAAAGAAAATATTATGGAATTCAATATAATAATATACCTATCCCTCCCACACTTTCTCTACACACTCTCCCTCAAATAGACTGTATAAAAAGTGCTACAGGGTTATTACCAGTCAACGCCACTCACCGCGTGCTAACGGTATAGGAGAAAATTTTAGCCATAATATGAATAGGATTTTGATGGACAAGTGATAAATGTCTGTGGCAAAGTTGCTATATAATAAAGGACTTTGCCTTACCTCTATGCAGTTTAGCGCTCAGGAATTACCCTTATTACAAACTGACCTCCACTTGCATTGCCCTCTTTATCCCTCTGGGTAATCTTCATGCCGGGTTAAATCAGAAAACGCATACATCCATTGAACATACCTCAATGTCCACGTATGTAATTCCTTTTGCTTGGAATACCTCTCGCAAAAAGTGGATTACCAGAATGCATGTCCCTCTTGGCCTTCCCAAGGGGAAAGTTTGGCTGACCTGTCCCCACCCTGATCTAGGGGTCTTTTACCATTGGGCGATTCTGAGTTATACATTGGTTGGTTTTGTTTGGTCCTTCTATATTCATTTTAAATGAAAAATAAAATATTTCATTGCATGTTTTGGTGTGGTCCTTGCAATGAACCATCTTTTACACTGATGTAGACATCACAGTTTTATTATTATAAGCCAGTGCCCACAGTCATGGAAATTGCAAATTCTACTTAAACCCAAAAACATTTTTTTGGGAAATAGTTTATTCGGGAATAAATGATCAGTATTTACATTTTTTATTATTTTTACACACAAAATATTTTATAACTTTGTTAATTCCAATCATACTAGTTTAACAAGTTTACTCGGTGCAACTGTTTTCATTTATCTCTAAAAAACCCTATATAATTTGAATAATTTTTAAAGGTGGCACAGTCTGCATTTATAATCAGTATCACATTAGAATTTGCATTTTATAATACCTGACAAGGGCTTGTTGTAGCAGGAAAATCAGATTCCAAGGAAACCGGTGCTGTCTCATAGTCTATTGGGGGCAGTGAGGGCATCTGAAATTAAACAGAAATTCAAGTAATACAGGGGTCTCCAACCTTTTTCCTTTTGTGAGCTATGTTATGTAAAACAAAAATGCCAGAGAGCTACAAATTTTAGCAGTTGCCAGAACTTTTGTAAATATAAGAGCCATGGTGAGCCGAAGATGAAGTACAGTTAGATGTCTATAAAACATAACCCATTAGTAATCCTGCACCATTAGGCATCAAATTAATATTTCAAAAAAATAGCATTTAATCATCAAATTGGGTTTTCAGCCACAATAATTCAATTCATGGCCCTACTTGGAAGGGGATGGAGAGCTACTGGTACCTCCCGAGCTACAGGTTGGAGACAGACATCCCTTTAATCCGTTTCCCTCTTTTGATCAATCCCTTTTCCCCTCCCTCGCCACACCCCCTCTTCCCCAACACCCAAATGATTTTGCTCCTGTTTCTCCTATGTACACCTCCAGCACAGCCAGCTTCCTCCACCAATCAACCATCTCCTGTTTCTCCATCCCTCTGGCAGCACATTATTACCAGTAATTACATTGCTCTCTCAATTGATCGAGCCTTCTCTCTTCAACGTAAACCTGCCGCGGGATCTCCAATCCAGCCAGGGCCTCACCTTGAAAATGTTCCAGACCACTCCTTCGCAATCAAAAGATCTCACCCCTACTGAATTTGCTCTTGCATTTTCCATTCACCGCAAAGTCATCTGCTCTGCTTTTACTAATAACTGGAGAGCCAAATTAGACAACAACCTGGCAATAGTCCTCGACCTCCCATCAGCAATTCAACCATGGTACCTACAGGGGGTCCCTGGATCTTGAGCTCTACTGTTGGGTTTTTGCAGCTCATGCCCCTCTCTCAGAGATCTTTGGTAATCCCTTCCCATCTATCCACCATATTTTCGTCCGCTTTATCCTGTGAGGCGGTCGGGGGGAGCAGACCTAAGCAGGACTCCCAGACTTCCTCACCTAGACTACGGCCTCCGCCTCCTTCCAGAAATCCCGAGGCGTA